GGAATCAGGTTTACTCAGATTAACTGAGACTGATTCTTTGAAGTACAACATTTCAGGTAGGATTCACCTCTGGAATATTAAGATTGGTGGTTTTTTCCTGGAAACTTTCTATTTCATGACCAAGCATGTTTAGTAATAAATTCAGCCTAACACAACTCAAAATTCAAGTTTTAAATCAATTAATTTCTAAGTCTTAAAAATATTAAAGAAAACTGACAATGAAGTGGTGTTAAGCCACAATGGGGAAAAAAATTGTTTAAATTTCCTGTTAAAGCTTTTTGTGCAGTTCTGGCTACAAGTTTTTTATAGGAAAGCACATTTGAGAAAGCCACAGGTAATTTTTTATTTATTTGGGTTTTTTCTAAGTGCAAGCCTGCCCTCTCGTGTGAGACTGAGGTTTAGCACCACTACAGGCAAGGGGAGAGGCAGGAAAATCAGAGCTACCTCTGGACTCTCCAAAGAACACAAACCCTGCAGTGCTCTGCTTTTGGCTCTGCTGCTTTTGCTGCACTGGGGACACACAAAGCAGCTGCTCACAACCTAATGCCCTCTCTGCAACAGGAATAAAATGCTTTCTATTTTGCTTGTTATCTGGGTGAATAAAGTAGACCAAATTTGCAATATTTAAGTGCACAGGTAACTTTGGAATTAGCCTCTTCTGTCACCTTTTCTACACGTTCAGTAGAGACAAAAGGCAAAAAGGTTCTTCTCTGTCTGACTCTGACAAATAAACAAAGACCAAAACCAGCCAAATCATGGGAGTTTTGTTTCTTAACCCTTATCCTAGTCAGTGTGTAAAGGCATCTACTCCCTTGGGAGGAGGAGGTCTGAGTCACAAGTGATTTGTGAAAGCCCACTGAAGACAACACAGAAGTCCCTGACAAGATCCTAAAGCCAAAATCACTGACAAATACTTTGATTATTACCTACCACACTTCACACTCAGCATGACCCACAAATGTTTATCCAGCTGCAAAAGCAGCAGCACTGTCACAGAATACACAGTGCAAGGCATTCCTTGTGCACATGTTATTGTCCCAATGGACACAGCTTTCACACACACTTGAAATTCAGAATGTTTCATCCCCCAGGAAAGTCAGGCACCTCCAACATAAGTAAACAGGAAACAACACCTACTTTCGAAGGTGTTCGTGCTCCTTCAGGAACAGTTCTGTTCTTCTGTTGTTCACGCCAGACCCGCTTTTATAGGACCTAAAACCCAACAAAACAGAACCCTGTCAGAACCTGAATAAAAACTGTGAATTCAAGTAACTTCTGTTGCTTTACTCAGAGCATGGACAAGTGAGCTATGCCAAGCATTCTCCTCCAGAAGGGTTTCCACCTTCTCCCTCCGAGGACAGTCCCATTCCACTGCTGTAACAAACACAACTTACTCGATGTCTTTCCGTACCGATCCCAACAGATTCTCCCTTTCTCTTATTGCCAAGAAGTTCGCTTTGGTTTTGTGGAATTCGTGTGTATAATCCTGTAATAAAACAGTTATTCCAAAATTAGGATCCTGAGGTTTAACGACACAATATACCCAGGGAAGATCCAACCACCTTTTCAACTGCCAAATGTTCTCCAATACAAAGTGCAAGACCAGCTTATGAAATGAACAGCAAAAATGGCCAGAAGCTAATGCAAAGTATTTTTAAAACTCACTGCTCTTACAGTAGTTGCTAAATTTGATAGCTAGAGACAAGGTCATGCAGGGAAACCCACTGTAATTCTTTGTCCCAGTGTCACATATCCTCGCCTCTCTGATGAACTGGTTTGTGTTGGAATTTCTCCTTACTGGTGATGGTGCCGCGATATCAGCACTGATAAGAATTATTTTAAACTATTACAATTAAAGGATTAAATTATTTTTAAGAACCAACCCAGAGGCAGGGGGGAGGCCCGTTCTGTTACCTGCAGGATGTCTCTGTGGCGCTGCAGCGTGTGCATCAGCGCCGCGTTCAGGGACGGCACGCCCGCGCTGTTGGTGTACTCTGCCATTTTGTCATTTATCCCAGTGAGCTACAGGAGGGAAAACAACCCCAAAAACATGTGAAATGGCTCGTTCTTGTATGAAAGATACAATGCACAAGCTGAAGGAGCTGGCTGGACAGGCACACCTTGTCCAACACCCACACTGCGTTTCCAAACGTCCCTCACACAAACCCGGACCGTGACATTTCCTAAACGCAGCACTAAAGCCACAGTAACTCCAGTTACCTTTCCCAGAAGTTGTTCAATCTCCACGGCCATGGTCTCAAACATTCTGTCCTGGCTTGATCCATTTAAGAGAGGAGTTGTGTCAGAGCTAGGGAAAAGGGGAGGAGCAGTTACTGAAAAGCGCATCGTTCCACGAATGCAAGAAATAAGGAAACACTGGGGACAGGGGTTGGAAAGCTCCACTACCCAGGTTTCCTAGAGGTGAATTAAGCTCAGGAAAACTACATTTTCTTATCACACATTCCTTTAATTCTTATCTGAATGGATGACACAGTATCACCTGGGGGAAACATAACCTCTCCTTGGAAGACATGCCTGACACCACACACCTTTATCTGGCACAAATGTCCTTCTCTCCCCACCTTTTAAATTTGATTTATTTATTTACTGTCAAAAGGGAGCACTGCACTGTTACAGCAACATAATCACACCTTAATAACATGGTATTAGGTCAACCCACTGACTTATTAAGCAATCAGTGCTCTACAGAGCTACAATTACAGTTTCACACACAATTACACTTTCACACACCTTCCCTATTTGCTTTTTAAGATAAACTAAAATCACAAGGAAAAGTCACATCTAAGACCTGCCTGTAAAAGTGTGACAACTAAGAACCCTCAGAGACAACTCATGGCTTTGGTAATCTGCCTTAATCTTAGTAAGAGAAGTTTTGCATTGGACAACAAAAATAATGAAAACAATCAGATTACACATCAAGTGACAGCACAGAGCCAGAAACAAAAGTGAAACTCAGGGATGTGGTGCTCTCAGGCTTCCAGAACCAAAAATTCAGGGAAAGGTTCAAAATGGATTAATTCATCAAATTAAAAAAAAAAAATCAATACACACACACCCCTACAGTAATCACAGTCATAACTGATACAGTTAATAAGCAAAGAATGGCATTTTTTAAAGGTTGCACTCGGACAGAGAAGTTCATAATTCCTGCTGTGGAACTGCAGGGAAGAGCTCACCTTTGGCCCCCAATATAGAAAGACTGGAAGAGTTTTATCAAAGTAATTCTTCAGTCAAACATGAGTCTGCCTAAAGCAAACAGAAACTACTCATGTACATGCACAAGTACCTACTTATCTGGTTCATATATATATCTCATCATATATATACACACATATAAAAATATATGTGCAGCTCTCATCATTCTCATTAACACTGTCCCTGCCCATGGCAGGAGGTTGGAACGAGATAACCTTTAAGGTACCTTCCAACCCAAACCATTCCGTGGTTCTGTGATTATCACTCACCTTAGGAGAAAGCCAGGAAGAAACAGCCACCCCTGTGAAGAGAGGGCTTGTTCCCTGCCAGCCTTGCACCAGCCACAGCTGCTCAGTGCTCCAGTTCCCTTAAAACTGGGATTACAAACAGCACACCTGGGAGGTGTAAGGGTAAACTCCCCTAATGATGAGGTCCTGAAAACCTCCTGTTGGTTCAATACAGTAAAAACTGGGAAACAAGACGATGTAATGAGCATTAAAAACTTCTATCACCAGTTCCCTCTGACCCCACACAGACTAAACTTTAAACTCAGGTCTCCCCAGGGACATATGTCACCCATAGCCCTTCCTGACTCACACCCCGAAATCACATCAAGGCCAACACCAGCAGCAAGTGCTGAAATGAGCCACAGGTGGGACCACCATTCACCAAACGATAAAAATGAACCCAGCACCAGGGGCAGCGTTTAAAACATAAAGAAACGGGCTTAGTACCTATACCTGTCGCGCCTTCCGTCTCGGCCGCTGCTGTAGCTGGTGCAGAGCTTGCTGAAGGAGACCAGCTTCAGGTCCAGCTCGTTCTCCAGCTGCCTCGCCTGTTTCCTGAGATCTGCGCGGGGCGGGGGGACAGTCACGGACCCGCCCGGGGCCCCCGCGCCTCGGCGGATCCCGGTCCCACAGACCGCCCGGGAGCCCCGGGGAGGGGAACCCACAGGGGAAGGAGGGACCCTCATGGCTGGGGGAGCGCCCCACGCCCAAAGAGGGTCACGGCTGAGCACCCTCAGCCCTGCCCCACAGCCGCGGGGCTCCGCGGGCACCGGTGCCTCATGGCTGACGTGCCGGCACCGCCCGCGCCCGCCGGCCCCCCGGAGGCGAGCAGAAGGGCCCCAGCGGCGGTCCCGCCTCGCCGTGCCCGGGTCGTACCCCGGGGGAGCCCCGCGGGGCGCGGCCGCCCCGGCCCCGCCGCCCCCGGCCCCACTCGCCTTCCCAGTAGTTGCTGCTCCCCGCCGCCATCTTTGTTGTCCAACGTCAGCTGCGGGCCAGCGCCGCCGAGACGGGCGGGACGGAGCGGCCCCCGGCACGGGCGGGCCTCCCACCGCAGCGCCGCCCAGCGGCCCGGCGGACACAGCGCCTACGCCGGGCGGGAGGTGTCGCTCCTGCTCCCGCCCCCATCCCCATCTCCCGGTGCAGATCCTGCTCCCCCGCTCCCGATCTCCCGGTGCAGATCCTGCTCCCCCGCTCCCGATCTCCCGGTGCAGATCCTGCTCCCCCGCTCCCGATCTCCCAGTGTAGATCCCCCTGTGCTGATCCAGATACTGCTCCCCCCGACCCTGATCTCCCGGTCCAGGTCCTGCTCCCCCGGTCCCCGTCACCGTCCCGATCCCGCTCCCCCGGTCTCGGTCCCGCTCTTCTCCTCGGTCCCTGTCCAGATCCACTGATCCCGGTCCCCCAGCCCCGCTCCCCCGATCCCCGGTCCCGCCCAGCGCCCTCCTCCCAACCTCGAGTCCCCCCTGTCCCGCAGCAGCAAGAACGAGAGAACCCACGTGGACATCAAAATAGTTTTATACAGATTATTGATCTCAGTATAACAGGTAAAAAACAGGCGGCGCCCCAGGGCAGAGCCGGGCCCGGCCCCGCGCCGCCCCCTCCCCTCCCGCTGCCAGGAATCGGCGATTCAAGTCCCTTTTAAAATTACATTTGAAGGCACAAGTGCACGGAGCGACAGCGACAGCGGGGACCGGCTCCTCGGCCCGGGGCACGGGCGGACGCGCGGACGGACAGACGGACCGAGGGCTCGGGGGAGCCGCTCCTGCCTTCCCAAACTGCTCAGGAACAGCCCCAGCGCTTGCGAAGCTCTGAGCACAGAGCCGGGGCCAGAGCCAGGCACCCCCACCTGGTCCTGCTACGTAGGAAAAGTCTCTCAACGTTTGCAAAACATCTCAAATCCACTTACCTTAAATATACACACCTACTCCAAGCTAACTGCGAAATTCACTCTGAGGGAAAGGGCCAGGACTTATTGCTAGAGGGACAAAGCACGGCCAGCTCTGCCCGTTACCTGCTGCCAGAGCAAACAAAGCCCAAACAGAGCCCTAAGAGCCATTTGCAAACCCAACTTTAAATAAAACCTACTGTGTCTCTTGTTAAAGGAGGAACAGTTCAGAGATGAGGCAGGATTAATGCTTTTGTGTGCTGGTGTCCTGCAGCCTGGTACACATGGAAAAGGGACATGGCCCAGGACTAAAACCAATCCCCTGCTCAGCACAATGAGCTGGGAACAGGCTCAGAGATGTTCATGGTTCCTGCAGAATCAACAGGACAGGGGGGACAGGGGTGTGGGGAATGCTCAGCCTCATCTCCCTGTTCCCAGCACACCACCTCAGCCACACCTTTTCGTGTTTTGCAGTAGAATTCCCTGTGGAACAGGGAAGAAGGTACACTGGTGACTAAGGGTTATCTCTGTGCCCCCAGACAGCTGCACAAAACCAGATGAGATGATGAGAATGACAGTACAGCCACGTGGTTCTGGCAGGGCATCACCAGAGGCAGAGGTGAGGAACAGCCTCTTCCCCAGGTGACACGGCCCAACAGCCTTAAAAGGGGAACACACTGTGCTGTTCCCCCAGAGGAGAGCAGGTCAGAGCCCTGCAGAGCAGACCCCATCATATATTGGGGTGCAAACACCCCCACCATGGACACCACGTGCAGGTTTCTCTAGTGAACATCCCCGGGCTGCTGGAGGACAGAGCAGCTCAGGGCAAACTAGAGGCCTAAGGCTCCTGCACCCCAGAGATCAGGTCAGTGGGGCAAGAATTAAAAAAGAAAATGAGCAGCAAGGAAATAAGTGCCTATTCTAACCCCAGCCTTCTGCCCAGAAAGCACAGGAACATCAGAGATGCATAAAGGCTTTAGAAATCAAACATTTCAGCCATTCTTCCCTTCTGGACATCCCTTCTATTCCCCACAAATCCTACATGTCCTGGGGATGTGGGCTGCAGCTCCTCTTTACAACTTCCTGCCAAGTGCTACACGACAGAATTTGGCTGCTTTTCCCTCCTCCTTCAGCACAATTCAGCCCTTCCTCACATCTTGCCCCCAGGACCCACAGCAGCCTCAGCTGCAGCCACACACACAGGTGAAGCTCCTGCTCTACACTTCAGGGATGCTGCAGGAGCAGAACAGAACCAAGCCAGCAGCTAATTTGCTGCCTGCCATCACCAGAGCTTGGTGACTGAAATGGTATTATGTGTAAATTGGCAAATGGTGCAGCTTTTCTTCAAAATTTAGTGCCAAATTTTGAAGAAATTTGGGCCATGGATACTCCCATGACCTCTCCCTGCTGCTCCAATACAAAGCAGTGGTAGACAGATTTCACTGTTTCCTCCTGAACAGAGGTGGATTTGAGCAAAGCTGATCAGGTGGAGCAGTAACTGACTGCTCTTCTACAAATCAGTGAATCCATTCCCTTAGAACAATATTCAGCTGCTCTTGCAGACACTGAGCTGTGGTAACATTAACATGAGACCCCCACAGCCAAGCCTGTTACACAAACAAAACACAACCAGGGGTGACGGGGATAAACTTTCTTTCTTCCCCAGAAGTCAGGAGCAGCCCTGTGGCAGAGCTGGCAGGCAATGGAACTCTGTCAGAGTGCACTGAGGCTCTGACTTTCTCCAGCTCACATCAAGAATGATGTCATGTCCTCCAGCTTTCAGGATGCCAAGTCACCCCCTGAAACTAATGACACATAAGAGATGCTCCACAACCGCTGCAGATCACACCAGGCCACAGCATCCCATGGCAGGAAAAGCTCCAAGGGAACAGCTGACAATCAAAGGCTTTTTTTTTTTTTGGTCTTTTTCCAAGGGCTGCCCTGTGGAACATTGATTCACGTGAAGGATCTGGCTTCCCCCAAGCACAGAGTGGAAAATATCAAATCGAAACAGGTAGAGAAACCTTTTTGGAGTGTTGTAGCCACGACTCCAGGCAGCTCTTGGGGCACTTCCCCACCATCTGTTCCCTGTGCTGAGATGCTGGGGAAGTGCTAAAAGCTCTGCTGGCCACCCTGTTAAGTTGCCTTTCAAACCACGTCATGTGACCCTCCGGATCTTGACCCAAAAACGTAACAAAACTATGTCATTATCCCAGAAACAGCCTCCAACACCCACTGATTTGCAGGTACATAAGGACAGAGCAAACAGAGGGAAGTTGGGAGCTGCCACCTGCCCCTCTGGAGGACACACCCTGAAGCTAATGTTTCAAAACTGAACCACAGGGACCGCCCCCCACCACCGGCTCTGGTCCATGGCAACCTCCTTTCCTGCCCGGGAGGTGTCAGTGTTTGCTGGAGTACAGTGTTTCTTCTTCAGTGTCTGTTTCATCCTGGAATTCGTGGCTCAGCAGGGACTTCTTGGAGCCAGTGGACATCATTCGGATTTCGTCCTCGTAGTCGTCGTGGTGCTGCCGGAGGCGGTGGAAGCCATCCTTGTGTCTGTTGGACTTGATTGAGCAGACACACCAGATGATGCAGGCAGTGAGGACCAGAGCAGACATACTTGCACCTGCCAGAGAGAGGACACTAATGTTAATGCCATGTTTCCTCACCACAGAGGCTCCCAGGCTTGATCCATCTTCCCTCCTACAGTTATAGCCACTTTTCTCACCTCACTGTGACCCTGCTCCTTCCTCCTAGGCCATGGAAGACGGGAGGGCTGATCCCAGAACAGAACAGCACTCACTTTATTTTCTGTGCCTGCAATCTAAGAGAGCATCCCCGCGCTCCTCTGCAGACCTAAACTCACCCCCCCAGCTGCTTCCACCTTGATAACATAAAATAATCTCTTAATGTTCACCTAGTGCCACACCACCCAAAGAAACCTTGGGGAAGCAAAAAGATCTCCTACCTCCCAGCTGTGCACACAAGCTCTCCCCATTCCAGGCATCTCAAAGTACATTGTGGACCCCTCAAATCCCTGCAACACACTTCCACCCTCCCTCCTGCAAGCCCAGCATCACCGGACCCAAGGGCCATTGGACCAGTTTGCATGGAAAAGTGTGTGTTCAAAAGGGAAAGCTGGAGATGGTTTAAGTCTGAAGGCTGCTTTCCCAGCTCAGTGGAGGGTCACCATCAGCATGAACTAGTACAGAAAGCAAAGCTCAAAGCTTTGATAAAAAGTGCCACTTCACCTGCAACAGTTATAACCAGCTCCCTTGGCAGTCCAAAAATCCTGTTTTCTGTGTCAAATATTATGAACACAGAGCTGGGTGCATCATCACGTACAAAGACCTGCAGAAAAACAGGAGAGATTAAATCATCTCAGAGTTTTCACCCGTGTTGGGTGTCCAGACAAGAGAGACACTTGTCATCTGCCCAGTCCTGTCCCAGTCAGCAAAAACAAGTGCAACGAAAAGAGAAGCTACTGCTCAAACAACCCAGCTGTGCTGGAAAGTTGTTCTCCATCCATTGTACCAAGGCAGAAAACAGCTCCTGATGGCACATAATCAGCAGCTAAACAGGGAAGTCTGCACTGCAGGGAGTGGGGGAAGATCTCTGACACGGACATTCACGTACCTTGACATGTTTCTGCTGGTACCCGTTGGCTATTGCATCGATGCTGTGAAAACCTGGAGCCAGGAGCACGTGGAAATAGCCCCCTTCTTTAGTATAGACCCTCAAACCTTCATTCAGAACAATGGTAGCTTTAGAAATTGGCTTGCCACTCTTGTCTTGGACAATCCCATGCACTCCCTTATGAACCTGAAACGAAGCATTACAGACACTTCATGGTGATCAAGCATACAGTGCACCTGGAACTAAAATAGGATATCACTTTCCCCCCAAAATACAGCCCCCTCCCCAGCCCTGACCCCCACAATAAATAACAGTGCATGACACTGCAAGGCAACACAGCACAGATCTTTAACTCTTGTGTCAACACATGTCCTGGTCACTTGCTGCCTCTGTTCAGTCCATTCCTCATACAGTCTAAATTATGACCGTCTGTAATTACACAGCACCGACAAAACCACAAAGACTCTCCGTGCTGTTCTCTTCCTCTCCCCCTCCCCACTACCTTCACTCCTTGCCAGAATTTCCTCCCACAGCCTGCAGCTCACCTCCACAAGCATGCTAAGGAGAGATTTCCTGTGGTCTGCCCACAGGCCAGGAAGCTGTCCAGCGCTCGGGAAGTAGCAGCAGCTGGTATAAACAGTGATCTCAGGACAATGACCAAATGTCACGCTGAAATCCTACAAAAAACACCATCACAGTTACAAAAAAAGAGGTATTAAAAAAGCTTTGCCAAAAGCAGCCAAAGGTGGGGAAGTTTAGCCCAGATATCAGAAAAAAATATGCTTTTTATTGGTCGTTTAGCAGATGTGGAAAGCCCTGTGCCATGCAGCAGTACCTTCATACTTCCCAAGTGACTGTGCCATTCCGAGCCACGGATCACACCACCAGGAATATTCTCATCTGTGAGAGCAAGAACACAGCTGTCAGACAGAGCTGCTCCAGCAGAGTCTGCCACAAGCTGACAGGGGGCTAAAAGATTCAAGCAAACATACCTGACTTATTTGGACAGCCTGGCTGGCCCAAGTGCATCATTGGGTGGTTGTTTGCATACAGAGATGCCAAATGCTTTAGTGTTTCTTTGTTCTCCACTACAACGAGAAAAGTGAGACTTTGAGAGTGCAACTCCCATTCCCTGGAGGGGCAGATTCCCATTCTAACTCCACGATCCTGTACTAAACAGTGACATACATTGTTCTAGGGGCATTCCTGATTTCCTCTAACACTGAGGGGCTGTATTAAAAGTAGACTTTATACTGGCTTTGGCAGAGGAAAGGTTGAAATACTGTTGTAGGATCAGAAGTTGTAAGTGTTCTGATCCCTAGCTGAACCCTGAGAGGTTTTATAGCTTTACTTACAGACTGTCAACTCCACATACAAAGGGCTGAAAACAAAGGAGGCTACAGAACACCAGCAGCACAAAAAGCTCTTACACCACAGGGTCACATGAACTTCTGGAGAGACAGCCCGAGGGTAACTGAGCACTCAGTCATACCTGACTGGGTTGGCTTATCATAAGGGTAAGTGACAAGAAGGGATCCTCCATCCAGGGCAACAGAGAGGCTGAAATCCTGCTTCAGTATCAAGTTCTCCATGATGGCTTTGGTCTCAGGCTCCCGTGTCCCAGAGTACCGGGTGTAATTGCCTGTAAATCAGAACAACAAATAGAACCAGTTTCCTCAGCTGTTTGAGAGGCCGGAAGTACATCCTTTATGTCTGAAATTAAGTCTGCTGCATGTATTAAAAAGCATCTGTTAGATCTCAGCAGATGCCCCTGACTGACCAAGTAAAGCACCCAGTCCTCACTACCCACGGGGGGAATTCATCTGCAAAGCTAAACAGATGTGAAACATCACTACTTCCCCAGGCTATTTAGTTTTGTGTTGCAGAGGGTATTTCATGTGTGTCTGCTCACAACAATGTCGCAGTACTGACATTTTGTTAGGAAAGCATTTGGAATGATCCCAGCCCAACTTGGGCACAGAACACTTACTCCTTAGGGAGAGTAGGCATAACACTGATACAGTGCTATGGATACAGTTACATGGAAACCAGAAAAGCATGAAAAAAGGAGACTGTTTCTGGGAAGCATGAACAGAGAGCATTTTTTCAGAGATGGAAGAAATCAATGAAAAGTAAAAATATATTAGGTGTTATCTGACCTCTGGACTATTCCTAAAGAACTCTGCTTGGTCTCTTGCACATAAGAGACTGCAAATTGCTGTCTGTAAGAGGGATTCAAGCTTTGGAAGCTTCCCAGCAGCTGTGCTGCCTGGTGTCCAGGGCAGGAGCGCTGCCCTCTTTACAGGCAGGCCCTGTAACTGAACAACTCCACCCAACTCCAGAGCAGTCAGCAGGAGACTCCTGCAGCAGCCTGCATTTCTGCAGGGACACTACACACCACTGCTGTGGTCTGCTTTACTTGTGAAGTCTGTGTCCAGATCTCTGCCGTGAGCGTTAGTCCGGCCTATGTTTGATGTGCAGCCCCTCTCCTGGGCGACCTCGCGTCCGTCTGGGTTCAGGGAAGGCACAATCACAATCCGCGTCCGGTCAATCAGCTGAGCAAAAGGGGAAACAGTACATAAACTGCAATTAGTAGGGTTCATTCTCTGTACAGCTCATTTCCCTGGAGTTCATCCTAGGAACAGCAGTTTGAGGTTCCCATTGACTCCACGGATCGCACACCTCCCTGTTACACACGGGATCACCGCAAGCCCCAAGCCAGGGTTAGCAAGACAAGTCCCTCCCATCTCAGGAAGGCTCAAGGTGGTCCCTTGCATTGGTCCCTCACCTTTGTAACAGCAGCGTTCTTCTTGTAGTTCATGCAAAGGAATTCTGCCAGTGTCAGGAGCAGCTCTGTCCCAACAGGAGCATTGCCATGAATACCAGCGACAAAGCGGATCTTGGGCTCCTCAGGCTCAGACTGGTTGGGCTTGTTGGAGATTTCAAGGGACCAGATCTGACGGAACTCGACGCTCTGACCCAAACTGCCAAGAGATGAGAAATGGGAGTGTCAGCTCAGGAACAGAGCTGCAGCTCTAGCCTGACCTCATGGAGAAATCCCACTGTGGAAAGGAATCTCCTTGAGGAGGCTGCAAAGGCAAGTGAAACACAACCACATCCTGAGGACAGATTTGCAGCAGCACTGAACAGAATTCACCAGGAACATCAGTTTGAACAGCAGCATCTGTGGAAGAGTGTATCCAGGACACCCAATGCTCCATACATCTCCATATAGCCCATGAGATCATGATAAATGTGGAACTGCTGGATGCCTCTGTGCTGCCAATGGTGGGTTTTGGTTTGTTCGTGTTTTTTTCCTTCAGACCAGGATACACCTGGACATCAAACTAATTTATCAAGCACCCAGTGTGGAGGATAAAAGAGGCCTGTTCCCAGTAATGCAGGAGCTGTTGCTACAGTCATGCCATTAAGCTGGCAAATTGAATGCAGGGAAAGCAGGGAACAGACTCAGGGCTGATGCAACTGCAGGGACAATAGAGGCTACAGATCAGCAAAGCAGCCTTGGCACCAGTGGGGACAGCACATGAGCACATTGTGCCTGGTGGCAACAAGCAAATGAGGTCCTGGGACAAAGGGATTTGTGCTTTCTAAAGCTGACAGAGGGTAAGGTTACAAAGGAAAGCAGAGGATGGCAGCAGCTGGTCTCCTGCAGGAGGGCAGAGACCTTGGCTCAGGGCAAGCTCACTCAAACATGTTTCACACTACTGAAATAAAATCTAGAGGCAGACAATGAAAAAAGGCCATCTGAGATTTGTAAGTCAAACCAGATCATTTTTGATGGGGGCTCTTTAGCAGGGTGGATTTAGAAAGAAATGGAGAGCATGGAACAGAGATATTTGCAGAAGCCTGGGATATCAACACTGGGAATACTGCCAGTCCCAGGCACACCTGGGGAACCAAGAGCACTCCAAGTTTAAGTCAACAAAACGATGTCTCAGAAAAAGCACACAGATACAGTCTCTGCAGCCACTGCCCTGCCACCATATCCTTACACACAGGGCTCCCTCCATCTCGGGGAGCACAGGGAAGGGATGAGCTCCCCATCTGTGTTCACAGCTCACAATTGCACAACATCCCTACCCCAGGCTGCTGCTCAGGGAGGAGCTGAGCACTGCTGCTTTGTTTTCACCTGGTGAGATTTGTGATGTGTGGGTAGTTCAGATAGAGGCCTCGGAGGAACTCGGAGAGGTCCTTGTACGGGCGGTACCGGTACGGAGCCACGTCCCGGGAGGAGGTGAGCAGGAGCCGCTCCAGACCATTCTCAGCAGAGAGATCTTTGATCAGGGTCTCAAACTCCTTCTCGTTGGGGTTGCTGGTGTCTGGGGTGTTCAAGACCAGCACCTTTCCCTCCTCCACTTTGCTGTCTGTCCGTGAAAGAGTGAAGTTGACCTGCACCCCACCTTTGCTGTCAACTTCCACCATCTTAGTGACTGGATCATACCTGCCCAGGGAAAAGAAGGTACAAGGAAACATCAGGCATTTGAGATCTCAGACAAAAGGCCATCCCTATCCTTACTACATGGGACTGCTATTGCTCCCCAGCCCTAAGTGAGAAGGGTAGAAACGAGGAGCAAGAGCAGTTCAAAAGGACATGGGAACGGCAGGAGGACAGGGAACAGCTCAGGGCCCAACATGGCGCTGAGCTGCTTTTGGCTCAGGTGTTGCAGGGTTACGTGGCAGACTGGCAAGATAGCAAGGCAGGCTGCTTTAGCACAGAGTTTTGGCAGCAGTTGAAGTGATGAAGTAATTTCTGTGGGCAGCTGCCTGGAAGAGAATTTCCCCTAAGGACACAGAGTTATCCACCCCTTCACTAGATCACCTCCAAACAAGGGAAGACTGGGACAGTACACCAGAGCCAGGTGAGCAGTCTCTGACATCAGGGTAGCCTCACACTGCTCTCTCTGCACGGGCCAGAGGGCAGGAGAAAGGCCCATTCCTACATCTGCTGTAGGCAGAGGGATGGGATAGTCCTGACGGGGCAGTCAGTCACGCAGCCGTCGGCCCTCGTGCCGTGCTCGCTCACCCTCGGGCAGACGCTGTGATTTTGTACATCCCCGGGACCAAGAGGCGCCAGTAGTCTCCGTCCTTGTAGGTGGTCACGGGGTGGTTGATGTCGGCCACGCTGATGGTGGCGTTGAGAATGCCCCTCTTGTCCACAGCATCCAGCACAAAGCCCCAGACGCCGATGTGAACCTGTGCACAGACCCGAGCCCTGCTGAGAGACGGCCCTCGCCGACACCCGCACCCCACCACCTCCCAGCCCGGGACTTCCAGCGTTCCCAGAGGAGCAAGATGTTCCAAAAGGGTTCAGGTTAGACTGGCCAGTAGCTGGCGTGGCCAAAGATCACCTGATGAGTACAATGAGCAATTGTTTGGCTCAGGGTGCCAGCACGGCACTCTCTGCTCCACACCTTTGTTTGCACACCCCAGGTGTGCAGCAGCCCTGGCTCAGGTAGGAACAGCATGTAAGGACCACTCCAGCCTAGGGAAAGCCAAGGTAGTGGTACATAAAAAGCCCACACCTGCATCACCTGGCTGCTATTTCCACACAGATTTTTGGTATGTTGAGAAGGAGGGGAGAGAAGGAGTTGTGACAGGTTCTGATGGGGATGATTTCTGCGGAGCAGGTACCTGGTCCAGCCAGGAAGCAGCACTTGCTTCAGCCCACAGATCAGCCTGTTCATTGTGGCATGTCTAAAACAAACCCCAGAGGCAGCTCACATGATTGCCTGAGGTCCAAGTGTCCCACCTGTTTCATGAACTGCAGCAGCGATCGACGGTTCTGGGCCCAGTACTTGGGCAGCTCCTCAGCTTTTGGGTATTTCACACAGCCCAGCTCAATGGTCAGTTCAAAGCAGTTTGTATGCAAGTAATTCCAGTCTTGCATCCCACCTACAACAGGAACGTAAAAAGAATTTTGATAAAGTCTTCTGAGGTATCACAGTTCAAACAAAATATCAGACAGTAGAGAATAGAGAAAGATGAAGTACAAACTTGAAGGGAAAAGGCTTTTACACAGGGCAGGATTCAAGCTTCAAAGGGATGCCAAAAGAGCAGACAAATAACCTTGCTTCTTGTAAATACCTTTCATGCTAATAAAGTGCTGTAAAATTTTATGAAACCATTTTGGTAATAGCCGGGAAAACTACACTATAAATTCCTTCCCCTAGGAATAACTTTATCTGGGTACATTATTTAAGAGGTTATAAAAGAAGCCCATTAATCTGGGCTGACCAATGCAGAGCTCCTGACTGATCAGATTAAATTATTTAAGCTGCACATGCATTAACTTGGAGACAAAGTGCAGGAGATTTAAGGTGTGCTTTACCTGGAACATTGTACCACTGAGCCCCATTAGTGATGCCATGTGGGAAGTACTCAGTGGGGTACATATCCTTACAAGGGCTTCCCTGGTACATCTGTGCATTTTCCTATAAAACAAGATGCAACATGTGAAGCTGAGTCTGCACTCCACAGCCACTGGCACTTTTGTTCTACCATGAGTCACATGCTTGGTGTTACCAAACAGAGGTTCACGTAGAGGTGTGTCTGTATGGCTGCAGCACCAACTGCATCCACACCCAAACACTACCCAGAGATATCCCTGCCCTCCTCCCAGCCAGTTAACAGCATTTTCCAACACCCTTCAACGTGTTGTTCCCTGAGCCTGCACAGAGCTCTCCTCCCTCAGTGCCCACAGACGGAGCGTGCTGGACATCACTCATGGAACAAGAGTCTCCTGTGGGACCCTTCTGCTGTGCCTGCAACACCAGGCACCCACAGCACCTGTGCCCACCCGTACCAGCTGCTCAGGAGGTTCCCTGGAGTTCACCCCTCAGGATGATCCTGTTAGAGCCTTACCTTGGAGTAGGCAAGTGCCAGCTTCTGGAACACAGCATCGTCTGGGGATTTACTGTATATGGCTATTCCTTGCTCATCATCATCAAAGGGGTAATTAACCACCAGAGAACCTGCAGGCAAAACAAGCTTTGGCTCACACTTGCATGCTTTCCCAGTCTTCCTTCAGCATAGTAAGGAAAATTATTCTCCAGCAAGTGCCAAGTCTTCTGTTTCTCAGGACTTGGCATCAAACAAAGCATTAAGCCCAGTGGATAGAAAAGACAACAGAAGCACAGGAAGAGATAACACCACATCTACATGGGAAGGTGAACCAAAGCCACAACACATCAAAGCTTTGGCTCCTACACGAAGGAGGGCTGAGCACAACCACATAATAATTGCTTTCACAGGGAAGTGAAAGCAAAGGGAGGAATTTCCTACAGCACACATGATGCTTTTGACCCAAATGATGCAGTTTTTCAGCCTTCTGGAGTTTGTTACTGAAGGTTTTCCCTATGGAAGCTGTACTAGACACCGCAGCTGCTGGAGACCTGCCAGCCCCCTCATCCCCACACACGGCACTTCTGCACTCCAAACAAAACATGCTGGCACAAAGCAACCACCTGCAAGTTACCACAGCTACAAGCCAGCAGACAAACTGTCTAGGGAATAAGCTGTAATACACAGAGACTTAATTTAGATTATTCCAAAAAAGATAATTAAATTACAGCAAATTTCATAGTTCCGCCATGCGATTCAAGGCATGGAACCCTCAGGATTGCATTCACTTTATAAACATTGTGAAGCCTTTAACAGCCACAGCTCTGCATCCCATTCCCAGACCAGCTGCTGAGCAAGTGCTGACAAGAGTCCACCCCCATCTGCCATGATCATTCCCATCTGCTCCCTTCAGAGAAGTGGTTGGGATCTTCCCAGCAGCCTCTTCAACTCCCCACAAACATGTTTGGGGACATGGTTTTTCACCCTATGTTTCCACCTTCTCCTCCATCTTGCAGCAGGAGAGCTCCTCAGTGCACACCTGGAACACTGTGGACATATCCCTGCAAACTCCCATCCCACAAACCCCAGCACAGAGGAAGGAGCTCGGATTGGTCGTGGTACCTCCATGCAAGTTTGCCGAGAGCACAAAAGGGTAAGACTTCAACCAGGCCATGACAGCAAGAGTTTCTGGCTGTGGAGGGTCTGTCACGTGGACAAACTGATCTGGGAAGTTCCGGTTCAGGTCATAGTTGTTGCTGTTGTTTCTGCCAACGGTACCTCCTTTGTCTCCTGAAAATTAAACACAAGTTCAAGCTCGTGCCTAGTGAAGTTCCCACTTCAGCACAGAGGTTTCACCGAGAGGGGCACCCACACTCTCCTTCAGGGAGTGACCTGCTCTGCACAGCGGTGCCTGGGGGCCCTTCCAGTGGATGTTTGCTCAGGCTCTCAGTGCCACTGACACCTCAGCCAGCAGAGAGGCACCGAACCATGAACAATCTCTGCAGCCGGATGTCGCGACCACAGAAACCGCAGAGCTCCCCTTCTCAAACCAGCCGGACAAGTTCTGTGTTAGACCCGAGCAGAGCTCTGCTTCCAGAAAGTGATTCTGGACAAACTTTGTTCTGCCAATCTGCAAGAGCCACATAGTTTTAAGACTTCCCTGAAGGATGTTTTTGCCAATTTTAACCTCATGATAAAAGTCTACGTTATCCATGGACAAGTGCTCTGCAGACAGCCTGGCTCCCACAGCACATTTACTGGGAGAATGGACCAAAGCACAGCAAGGCAAGAGCTGTGTCAAAGAAATGTCTTTTTTTTAAATAAGCCCTGGATTACCATAAGGGGGCCCAAAGAGGAGCAGCATATAGCTCTGCTGAAGCATAAGAGCTCTCTCCAACAGCTTCCAGCATCCATCAAGCACCCACGTCCTGCAGTGCATGTCCACCCACTCATCCCACAGCATCAAGTCCCTTCCCAGCCTCTCTGTGCAGAGAGCACATCTGCTCCAGCACAGCTTCCAGATTTCCCAGAGGTACCACGAACCCAAAAGGCTTAGTCTCAGAGCTAGAAACCCCACAGATATTTCAGCACAGACAGCAATACCTTCCTGGGATCTCTCATAGCCATCAGGGTTCATAGACGGCATGATGTGGATCCGTGTGCTCTGGACCAACTCAGTCACTTCAGGATCTGTGCCAAAGTTCTTGCAGAGGTACTCGATGAGGTTCAGGAGAAGCTCTCGCCCCACAACCTCATTCCCATGCATGTTCCCGATGTACTTGAACTCCGGCTCACCTGCAGACACACGGTGACACCAAAGAGACAGTTACAGCCACTACATTACAGCTTGGAGACACCTCACCACCCTGAGCATTGCTCTTGCAGGTTTTGCTGCAGGGTATTTACCTAAAATTTACCCTCCTGCTCCCACGCCACCAAAAAGAACAATGTCTTAGGGAAGCCCCGTGCTCTTCTGTCCCCAGAGCTTCATGACCAGCACAGATGTCCCCAGCAACGCTCTTTAACACACAAGTGCCACCCACTGCACTTGCACTTATTACACAGGATATGCAAGGAGCAGCTCAAACTCTGTTGAGACAGGGGCCAGCTCTACCCTCCTTTCTGCTCTGCCCACGCTCTCCCATGCAAGGGGTCTGTCACTTGCATTTGTGCCTCGCTGCAAAGGATTTCCCACATCACCTGCTTCGTGGACGCCGGGGTTGTCAGAGATCTCCATCACGTAGAGCTCCCGCAGCTCCGCGGACTTGCCGACAGAGTAGAGCCGGGTTATGTTGGGATACTCGTTGGCATAACGCCGCAGGAAGATCTCCATGTCCGAGAAGTGATGGTGGCGGAAGTCCACGGGCTGGATGGGTTCATGGAGAGAGGTTGGATTTGGGGCCTCTGCCTGCACAGGGGTGGGGGTGATGGTAGTGGCAGGAGCCGGTGCCGTCACGAACTGTGTGACATTAAGAGCTGGTGGCATCACAGTTGGCTGCAAGGAGAAATTCACTTCTGTTGCGTCTCCTTCCTTCACCTCGACGTTCTCTTTGGTCACTGGTGTGTAACTGAAAAAAACAACTGGCTTCAGCAAGGAGGCTCTGCAAACAGAGGGAAAAAAACCCCTGCAGTCCCTCCACCCCACCAGCCCAAACACACTGGGATATTAATGACCATGTGAGAGATTCACCAGGAACAAGTTGATGGGACATATCCCACTACCACTGAACCCAGCTCCACTGCTGTCCTTGCTGTGTCAGAGGCATGAGTTCCTTTACAGGCTCAGCAGGGAAGGTGTTTCACAGAACTAGCCAAGAGGCAAGTTACACATTCACACCCAGGCTTGGGACAACAAAACTCCTACTGGGGTGACCCTACTCCGCTTTCTCCCTTTGCACAAAAGTAAGATGCAGTTTGATATAAGCAGTCAAACAAAGGTGACAAAAATTCTGCGTATTCAACAGCACCCCCCTGCAACCGAGCACAGGGTGAGCAAACACAGCTGCAGCTCTGAGCTGGAGTCCTTTACAGCCAAGCCCCTTAAACACATAAGGTGTTTTGGGGAAGGAAAACAAGTGAAGGAAGAGGAGCAGTTGGCAGTGTGGACACAGGCTGCCACAGAGACATTACCCCATGACAACTGCAGTCACGTTGTAGGTCCCAGGCACAAGCAGTCTGTGGTAATCCCCAAATTTGCCCGCTGTGATGTTGTGAGCGATACCGGCAACAGCGATGGTCGCGTTGTCCAGGCCAACTCCAGTGACTGCATCCTTGACAAAGCCTTTCACACCAATGTGGACCTGAGGAAAACAATGCAAGGGCGTGGCTGAAGACAGACAACATCAGGGGAACCGTGTCCTCAGCCAGCACCCGCCAGTCCCTGTAACACTGCACCCCACGAGGCCCTTCTCAGCAGAGCTCTGCTATTGTGGGGGTTGTGGGAGCTGTGGCAGGACCACAGAGATACACAACAGCTTTGTAGCCACCGACCTCCACACAACAGCCCCTGCAGCTGTGTTACCTCACACAGCAAACAAAGCCACAAGAGCACCCGAGCACGGTGCTCCCAGCCCGTCACAGGCACACGGGTTTCCCAGCTGCCACCCCCACGCCCATCCCAGCCCACACTTACCTTCTCAATGAAAGAAAGGAGAGATTCCCTGTTGTTCTCCCACTCCTTCTGAAGCTCAGAGGTTGGAGGATATTTGCAGCAAGACAGCTCCAACGTGATCTCAAAGCAGTTGGCCCACACGTAGTTGTAATCCTGCATCCCACCTGAGAAAGGGAGGCAGAGACATGTCCCAAGAGCAATGCACAGACATCCCACCACGGGATGCACATTTCTCCTTGTCCTTCAGCCCCCCTCAGCCTCTCCCCAGGATGTTGCCCCAGCTCCAGAGGGAGCAACCCAAGGAGAAAAATCAAGTCAGATTATCATGAGAGCCAGGGAAGATTGAGCTCCATTTCTCCCAATAACCAGCACACAGGGCCACAGGTCAAAGTGACGGTCCCTTTGGTCTCACTGCTCCATCAGCTGAGCTTGGCAACACAGCACTTGGAAATTCATATGGATTCGTTTTACATTTCCAGACACAACAAACCCAGTATGCCAGGGCAGGCACACAGGACTCTGAATGTTCCCACTGCTGAGTCCTTCACTGCGCATTCCAAAACACCTTCATATTTGTGAAGGCATTCTCCTGTGCCTGCAGGAGAAGTTACTTCACCCAAAATGAGCTTGAGGTCTCTGATACAAAAGAACACAATGGACTATTAACTTGGGAGGTGGCAGCTCGAATCTGCATGCTGAAATCACTTTAGAGGACCACAAAATTGATCTCCCAAAAGCCTCTTAGCAAAACTCCAGACAAGATGAGAGCAATGCTTCCCCTTCTCTACTTCCTCAGCTGCAATTTTCCTCCAACTCCTTATTAGAAGATCTGCATTTACTTGATATTTAGGCAGAAAGTCTGACAAGGTCTGACATGGTGAGAGTGTGCAGTGAACTGCAGCAAGTCCCCTTCAGGAAACTCTCTTCTCAGTTTGGGAGGCAGTGATGCCTCCCTCACTGCCGACCTGGCTGCAACCCCACAGCAGCCAGGTCCCGCAAGAGGAGTACAGGACAGATTTATGCACCTGAGAAAGGCTGAGAAACTTGTTCTTGGCCAAGTCACCAGCCTCCTCCCACATTTCCTCTTTAAGGCAGCAGTCTCAAATCAATTTAGGGATGTTGCAGCACCTGGAGACAGTTTGTTAGCTTAGTGCTAAACCAGCCAAACCTCTATGAGCACCCCGAAACAGGAGTACACGGAGCCGTTTCCCTGTGTTAAGTTCACCTTGTTATCCTCGCCCTTCAGAGAAACCACAGGCACTGCTACGAATCAAAAAGGTCACCTTGTCCCAGTAAGTGTCCTGACCCCATTTGCTGAAGCTTACATCCAACCCTCAGCAAGCAAACCTGTTCCTCCAACAGGAATGAATCACGTACCAGCAGGACCCGAGGTCTGCAGGTATCACCACTCACGATCTGGAGCCCAGACCTGAGCATGCTGCTGGACACTGCAAGAGTTCAGCTCTCTAAACATTTATGGGAGCTTTCAACAGCAAAAAGGACATTCCAAAACCACCACAAGTCTGTGGAACAGGTTTCACAGTCAGCCTGACAAATCCCACCACATGACTGTAGCCAGACGTCATGACCACATGAGAGGATTGTTCCCACCACCCACTCAGGCAGTTGGGTCAGTAGGAAAGAAACCCCACACTACGTTTTATGCATGCTGATGATGTCTTCTGGGTTACACAACCTTATCCACTTACAACCCAGTCAGACTGGCGTGTCAGACTGCAACCACCGAGCCCAGAGACCTCCACACCCCAATGGAACAACTCCCAGTGTCAGCTGGACACAGCAGCCCGGGCAATGGGCCTCTTCTGGATGAGCTGAGGAAGTCAAACTGGCTCTCAGAAGCCCATCTCAGGGAACAGCTATACATTTTCTCCACAGGAGGCAGATGCAAAGTCCAGGAGAAGGAAAGCAGAAGGCCTGTGGCCGGTGTCCTGCAGAACCCTGGCAGGCAGGTCTGTGAGAAATGCAGGCTCTGTACTCCCATCCTCAGCCTGGGCCACCAAAGTGCTACGTTAGTGCTGTGCCAACAAACCTCACTTGTTTAGTCTGAGCAGTTTCCTAATCATTCCCAAGCCCCTTCACAAGCAAGGGACCCTCTGTGGCACCGGCCAATTAACTGCCCAGAACGGATCGATATCCCAGTGCAAATGCACTACCTGGCACTGGCAGAGCCTGTGTTAAGGCACAGCCAAGAAAAGCCATCGGCAGCACTCTGCCGAGCAGGGGAGGCTCACAGCACATGTGACGGCCCAAAAAGTCAGAGACCACTGCTCTGAATTCAACAGCCCCGCTGCAGTCCAGTAAAGCAGGGAGGAACTGACAGCATAAAGCAGGATTTAGAACAGACCCCTGGGAAGATGTGCAGGATGGTACCACAACAAAGATGTCCCAGTTCCTCTCAGTTCCCCTGGGAGTCTGCTGCTAAGGGAACGCGAAGCTTTTATTGTAACAAATTAAATGTCACTGGCGGCCAGACGGAGAGCACTGCAGCTCCTGCACGGGCTGACAGCAGAACAGGAAAGAGACTTTTCTGTCCAGTACGAGGGGCCAGAAAGTGTTTGAGGGCTTTATAACTCTCCAACCCAGTTCAAGGGGTTAGAGAAACAAGGCCTGTGAATCTGATCCCCCCTCAGCTCTGTTCAGCTCCCGTTACCAAGCTCAGAACAGCAAAGCACAGCAGGCTCCTCTCTCGCCAGTAAACACCACGCGAGTGAAACAATTTGCCAGCCCATAACCATCTGCTCATAGCAGGATGCTAATGCATTTGAAAACATCCATACGTAAACCAGAGCCATTATGAAACATATTTAGTGCTTCATCTGCCATTCAAGCAAATTTAGGACAGATGCTCACCCATAATAGAGCAGCAACAGACTAAATTAGAGCTTGCTACATCGATTTTGGTAAAACTGCCTCTTGGAGAAAGTAGTCCACTGCATTCTTGAAAATTTGGATTGTATCCATTGCACATATTTGGCCTTCACATGCCTCTATTGCAGAGCAGGACAGTTATTTTTACAGCATGTGGAATTACGTATTTTCCCCACATACCATCTGCACAACCTCTCTTGGCTCTGCAGAGATCTGGAGGGGTAAAGAGAGACCTGTGCTCAGGCAGGAGTAGAGCAGAAAAAACACACTTGAAGCAGAGAACTGTCAGACTAGAGGACAGTCCTTCTACTCTGCTTGAGTAATAGCTGGGATAACCTGATGGATTTATTTCAGCACTTTTAATCACAGTGTCTTTTAGCAAAGACACTGCAAAAAGTTGGGGTTTTTTTAACACTGCAAAAAGTTCCAGCCTCCCCATGAAGCACTATACCCATGCTGTCAGTGAGGAAAGAAAAGGGAAAATGAGCACCTTAGTGTCAGAGCAAGCCAGTCCCTGGCTAGCAGTAGGTCACAAATACGCTCAGAACAAACCTCTCTCCTGCTCTGTCCCACTCCCTGAGCATCAGAACTGTGCTTCAGGCAGGGATCCCAGACCTCCTGCAGCACAAGTACTGCAGAGCTCACACTGACAGGCAGGGCTGCCTCTGCTCCCTGCCAAGCTCAAACCAGGGGAATGCAGCTCTCCAGAGTCAAGCCTGGGGATCCAGATACCATAAATACTCCACGTGCCAGGAGAAGCCTTCCAGGCCAGCCAAGAAGGACTCTATTTTCAAACTGCACCATGCAGAAAACTAATTCCAGCTCTCACTGGAGCTGACATCAGGAGATAAGAGACCTGCAGTTAAGTTAAAGCAGAGACACAGGTCGTGTCTGCTCTGCAGAGAGAGCAGATGGCACCAGGCAAGCTGGAGACGTGATTCAATATGTGGCATAAGTTGCTGACTCTGTGGATAGAACCAATTGTCTCACAGCAGGAGATCAGGGGAGCACCAGGAGCAGCACCAAAGAGGCAGAGGAATGTTCTGGTCTATTAGTCTGCAATCATTAAAACTCAGAGGAGGTGAGGTTTGTTTGAGCCTCCAACTGAAGAAGCTGCATCACAGCCCAGAGCAGCAAAGCCCTGCAGCCTTCTCTCAAAGAAAAGGGCAGAGTTTTCCCAAGAGCTGCACCAGCACAGCACTGCCCAGCAGTTCATGACAGACATGAAAAGAGGCATTAGACCCTCAAACCATCAAGCCAGTGTTTTTCGCAAAAGTAAGAATTTTATGAAAACACAAACACAGAAGTGCAGCAAACTTTGCACAGCTCAGAAAGACGTGGCTGAGAGCTTCTACCAGAGCTCACTCTGGGCACTCCTTGCCATGCCCAGGAAACAGAGGCCACCACAGCACTGCCATGAGCACTCTTTTCAGTGAGTGTTATCAGCACTCATTTTAACTGCTCTGAGTTTGATGCCACCAAAGTCTGTTTGGAAGCTCAGTGTGGCTGGTAACCACAGATAAAGCAACCCAGTCAGCACTCAGATAACCTAAATCCACTTTCAACCTGAGATGTGCCTTCCAGTAGAGGTCAGAAACATCTCAAACACTTGGGCATCAAAGAACCCAACTAGCAAGAAAATAACTTTTAGGAAAGGACTGCACATAACAATAAACTTTCCAAGGCTGCCCACAAAATACACTGCTGAACTTCATGATGAGTTCAGTTTCTGAACTGGGCTCTTAACAACAAAAAGGCAAACCTCATCCTGCCCACAGGTAAGACTAGAGAGGTTTCTTAACTGCTTTTTATACCCCAGTCCACAGGGGTAAATGCATGCATTTACTTGATCTGAACCAGCCACTTGGTAGCTAAAACCCTTTAAGGTTAAAAAGGAAGGAAAAGAAAGAGCATGCACACCAGAGATAGCCTCTGAGAAGCATCCCAGTCACAGACACGCTTATCTACAGCAGCTGGAATGCAGGAGCCAAATTCAGCTGTTTGGCAGAGATCCATCTTTCTCTGTGCACACTTGACCTTAGCAATTACTCCCATGGTTTGTACTTGCCACCTCGATTTGACACACATAAGAGGTTGTTTGCAAACTCAAATCAAAGTTAATGGGGACTGGCACCAGCATGGCCCTGAACTGGTAACTCCAGGACAATGAATCCCGTGGCAGTTTGCTCTCCAGCATGTTTGATTTCACATGATAAAATGTGGCAGGAAAATTTCCACCTGTTGAAACACCATGTTCTCATTCCTTTGTTTTTCCTGGCTTTAGTTCACTTGGAGCCTGCAGGAGTCTCTCCTGGCATAACCTGGTCTGGAGGCCATGAGCACATGCCCTGCACTGTTCAGTGAACCATGTATTCTGGTTATCCATCTCTAGAGTTCAGCCCAGGAAGCTCCTGCAGGGGACTGGGATTTCCCCATCCTCATTTCATTGCACATTCAAATTCTGGAATCACTGGGAAAGGCCTCCTGGTCCAAGTACGAGTCTCCACAGTCCTTGGCACAGAGCTGAGCAACTCAGATGGCTCAAAACAGCCCCTCTGGTGGTTTTGCTCCTTCTGTCACACCACTTACAACTGACTCCCCTTTGCCTGCTCTTTATCCACTACTAAAAATAAACGTTAAAACCCACAACCCCAAAGGGACACAATAAATTCACACAACATCAAATTACACGTGTACTGGCCTGGGTATCAGTCAGTTCATCCACGCTCTCCCCTGGGTTACACTTTACATGAACTCCTTGGCTGGGGAGCTGCTCCAAGGGCTGCTGGCACCCTCCACAGGGGCATCTTTAACAGCAGTGAGATGTAAATTACTGCTTAGGGAGAGACCACACAGATGCCCAGTGGATCCTGTCTGCAGCCTCAGCAATGTTCCACTCAGCTCGTGTCGGTGCATCCTCCCTGTAATCTCAGCCCGTGAGTTGCCCACAGCTGCCAACGCTGAGCCTGAGGCTGTGACTTGTCACAGTGAAAGGGTTTATTTCTGCAGATGCTGGAGGCTATTGGACACAAAATAAACCACAGTGATGGCAGCACAGAGCAAACTGGTCTGCAGTTCACACCTTCCCATTTCTTGTGAAACGAAAGTAGGTGAAACCTCTGCTCGCTGGCAGGGCAAAGGCAGCCTGAAAGGCTCACACGCCAGCCACTAATGCCACAGCCTCTAACCAGCTGCCTCACATGGAAGCTGGAGGATGAAATCAACCCTGCAGCAAAAAATACCGCTCTCTGGGGGCAGAGGAACGTAAGTCCAAAGCTCTGGAATCACTTTCCCTTCAGAGCCCACCCATCCCACTTCATCACAAGGGCAGAAAAGCTCAGGGCTGCAGTTAACAAAGCTCCCGCCCGAGGTGTCTGCCGGTAACAAAAGCCACCAGAACACACAGCACAGATCGTCCAGGATATCCTGTTCCCTCCTAAGCCAAGTCACCAGATTACACAAACCTTCCTCCTGCTGGACTTCTCACAGCAGCAGAGTGAACCTTGTGCCAGCAAACACCAGGGCTGGTGTGCTCAGCAGGGTGGAGGGAAGGAGACAGGTGGTAGGGAAAGAGATCAAACTGCATCTTATTTGAACACAACATCTTATTTGGTCAGTGAAATCCTGGGGAATGATTCAGCCACTGCTAAAAATCAAGACTTCCTCTTCCAGCACAGAGCTGATGTGTTCAGGCCCAGTAATGGATCCCTCTCCCTCATTCCCAAGCAAGCTGGATGCAGGGTTAGCACAGGATTCTGCTCCAAAGCCCCTGTTTCAGAAAGACAGTCTTATTAGAAATTGTTAAGCTGTGAGCTCTGAGGGATAAACAGCACTGGATGTCACTGCTTGCTCAGCACTCCTGCCATCATCCCTCAGCCCCAGCATGAGGAAAAGCAGAGCAGTCAGAGTCCAGCAAAGCAACACAACTTCTTGGGATCCTTTCTGCAAGGTTTTTGTTGTTTCCTCACCACAGAAGTTCCTGCCCTGTCTGGTGAGGCTGATGTACAACATCCGCCGAGGGGGCACAGCAATGGGGTAACTGCTTCTAATGACACAGCCAAGATTTCTCTTCCCCCCCAGCCCACAGAGCCTCTTCCATGAGAGCCTCTCATCACATAAACTATTACTTAAATTCCATTCTCAACAAAACCAGCACACACACAGCAGCCCACTGAGGTGGCTGAGCCAGCCCAGCCACCTCCACCCAGGCAGAGTGGTGGCACCGGGAAGTCACTTTCTCCTATTCAGATCACTTCCCAGTGATTCAGATTCCCTAAGGGAAGGATTAGGAGCTCTCCTAGAGGCTCCAGCAGAGAATTTCAGATCCCTTCTAGATCCCCCATACAGTGGACGAGAACAGGTCATGCAGGCTGTCACCCTCCACACGGGTCTAGGAGCAGAGCAGTCCATAGAAAAGCTGCCAATCCCACTTCCAGGGAGAGCACCTTGGTTAGCTCAGATCATCTATCTAAATTTTACATAGCCTTACAGCAGGCTATTCTATAATCACAAAATCACAAGTTCAGAGATTAAAAAACCTCACAGGACGCTGGCATTGGTTTAATATCATTAAAAATAATTTCTTCTTTCCCGTATCAAAACTTAGTAACCATCGAGAGATCTAAGGAGAATTCATTTGGCAACTGAAGCCTCCCATATGCAGGACAACTCTCCACCACTTAACAGGGTCAGGAAGAATCCTCCAGTTTGCTGTGATCTCTTCCCTAAAAACACCTCCCAAGCCATGACTCATCAGGTGCCTACTGGTGTGCCCATGATGCCACCTCTCTTCATCTCAAGCTGCTAGAACGCATTCAAAGCTAAAAATATCACTTCACCCACCGTCCCTTCCTCTGTGGTAATCACCACTGGTCTGGGTGTCAGTTCTCAGAAACTATTCCTAGAAGATCCTGTGTCAGGGGAGCCAGCAGAGCCAGCACAGCTTACCTTCTACGTCGTACCACTGGGCCCCGTTCGTGATCCCATCTTGGAAGGTCTCTCCCTCCTCGCCAGGGCAATTGGGTTTGCCAGTTCTCATTATGGGGTGATGAGATGCATAAGCTTTTGCCAAATATCTGAAGACTTCATCATCAGCTGATTTACTGTAGACTCCTGTGGGCCTATGTGTGGGAGAGTCATCGTAGGGATAGCTTGCCACCACGGAGCCACCATGGAGATTGCCAGAGAGCAGAAACCTGCGGTTGGGAAGGAGAGTCATACTGGAACAATTTCAACAAGAAGCAGGCTGCAGCCACCCAACCAGTTATTCTGCTGCTTTCCTACCCAAACCAGGCTCTCAGGAGCCTCCATGCTCTGTTTGAGATCAATGAGGCAAAATGCACTCATTGGATGAGGTGCCCAGCAGGAAGTTGGGCACTTTGGAAGTGGAAGCGAACGGACCCTGCTCCACCAGCCCTGTGCAGGGAGAACACCTGTGGAGCTGCAGCTACACCAAGGTTATGTTAACAGACAGGCACCTGTTCAACACCCAGTCAGCTACTGTTGGACATGACACACCATCCTGGGAGACATATCCCAGCCTCCAACACAGCGAGCAGGATCATCAGAGGGTCTGAACAGTGTCCAAGTGGGAGCTCAGTGGGGAAATCTGCAGATTTTCTGCAATAACCAACTCTCAGGACTGGTTGATTGGCTCCCCAAACTGACATCTGGCATTACTGGAGACAGAACAAGTTCCTTGCTGCAGCCTAAGACCCAGCCCTCAAACTTTGTGACAGACGAGCAGTGCCCTGCACATGAACCGATGTACACGGCTCTTCGTCAAGCTCTGAGCAACTCCTGGTAGGTACAACAGAACCAACTCACTCAAATAAAATCTGGATGTGAGACAGAGCTCTTAAAATCTCAACTCAAAAAACACAGGCCCTATATCACCCTTCAGTTTGACCACAGGCAGCACAAGCATTTCAATGAATACCAAAGGTAATTGTCCCTGCTCTTCCTCTTCCCACCTAACACAGCACTGAGGGAAAAAGAGCTCTCCCCGTGCACTCAGTCAAATGGGATTTGGTTTCCAAGCAAAGGTAACGCGACCGATACTTTTACTCTGCTTAAAATAGTGCCCATGAATTGCATTACACCCACTATCTCCGTTTTTAATCAAACAGTTCTGTTTACCCATTCATTTTTCTATCAGCAGTTATGTTAGTCTAACAATCACACCACTATTAACTGGTGCTGCCGGGCAGAGGGATGCACAAAGCACCGCGTTTTTCCTGTTTCGCCCTGGCCGACAGCAAATCCCACCTCAAATACTCACAGAAAAAAATAAAATAAAAAGCTCAAGGTGTTTTCAAAACGATATCAAGAATGCACAAGTTTCCATAGTAACCCATTTTGAGCTGAACCAAATCTGGGGAGATTTTAGTGGAAAGTGCTGCATCAGAGCTTTCCTAAAGGATCCTTTGGACAAGCAATTCTGGGGAAGTTCATGAAATTTCTCTGGAGCAGCATCCCCATGGACACTGCCATCCATCAAGTTTTAATAAAGATACTTAATAAATCCACCAAGATTTAATAAGAGTTCAAGCAAATTTCGTTTCCTAAAGCTGAGGAAACATTATACAATGCTGAATGTTGTGTCTGTTGGTTGGAGTCAACCAACAGCACACTGTGGCCATCAGCCACCCCCTCTCCATCTCTCTCTATCCCTGTTTTGGGAAGAGGGCCATAATTTGTTCAAGTGTGTTGCCTGTATTCGATCACACTTTGCATTCCTGCTTTCTCTGCACAAATTCTCACGGTTGGTTGCACTGACCTTTGTGGTTTGGACCTTCCACAGTTCTCCAAAGTAGAACACACGGCAAATGAAAAGCCACTGCCATCCCGGCCACAGAGCTTTCCAGGGCTGCCCCAGACCCCCAAACCAGGGCTGGGCTTCAGAAGTGCCATCTCCTCTCCTGGGCTGCCCCATTCCAAGCACAGCAGCTTCCCATTGCTCCCCTCCTTGGAAGGGGAGAGCCAAACAGCTCAGCCCTGTGTGCTCCCACAGGACAGACGGGGAAGAGGACTGTGAGAGTAGGGCCTGCATTTGGAAACGCTGCTGCACAGAGCATTATTGCTAAATCCAGGGAATTTTCCATGAAACATAAAGATGGGGGGAAAAAGCCCAGTTCAGTGCAATTCTGTTAACATGGTCGCACACAGACTAGCTGCTCACTTAACCCCGGATATTTCCAGCATCCCACAGTTCATGGTGAAAGCACTATCAGCCCCAGGAGCACGGCACACCGACAAGCTCAAGGCGAGGCGGGAGGGAAGTTTCCAGCCACAATCTCCGGGAGGTGGGACACGTGCAGATGGCCATGGAGGCCGGGAACACCTGGGCGTGTGCAGGGCACAGGCTATGCCCTGCGGGGCTGGTACAGCTTCTTTGCAAGTGCACAGAAACTGGGGCCACCAAATGCTCTCCTCAGGGCCAGCCCAGCGCAGGATGGTACCGGCTACGATGAAAGGCCTACGCGTGGAGGCAGGCTGGGGAAAAACAGGTGGAGAACGAGCTTTTTCTTCCCCCCAGGCCCTCCTGGGAAGCACCGGGAAGGGTTGGACCCGGCTGACACCTCCGAGGAAGCGGTGCCGAGGTGCGGGGCGTCGGGCGAGGGGGGACCGCGCTGCACTCACTTGTTGCGGCGCATCCAATCGATGAGCGCTTGCACCTCGGGCACGGGCTCCAGGTCGGGCTCGGCGGCGCCGAACTGGTCGGGGAAGCTGCGGTTGAGGTCGCGGCCGCGGCTGTTCTCCCGCCCGCCCTCCCCGCCGCCGCCGCAGTCGCCCTCGCGGGCGCGCTCGAAGCCGTCGGGGTTGAGGCTGGGCAGCAGGTACAGGTCGGTGGTGTTGAGCAGGCGGACGATGCGCGCGTCGCCGCTGGCCCAGCCCCGCACCAGCTCCCGCGCCAGGCGCAGCAGCAGCGGCCGCGCCAGCGGCTCGTCTCCGTGCATGTTCCCCACCAGCTTCACCTGCGGCCGCCCGGGCAGAGCCGCTCCGCCGGCCGGCTCGCCGGGCCGCTCGGGGCCCAGCCCGGCCGTGAGCCGCAGCACCCACAGCGGCCGCTTCTCCACCGACTGCCCGATGCTGAAGAGCCGCGCCAGGCCCGGCGGGGCCGCGTCCGCCAGAGCCCGCAGCGCCTCGCCCAGCTCGGCCGAGTGCAGGTAGCGCAGCGCCTCGCCGGGCTCCGCCGCCGCCGCCGCCTCCGCTTTCTTGATGTGGCGGGCGCGGGCCGGGCTCGGCAGCGGCAGCAGCAGCGGCAGCAGCGCGCAGAGGAGCGGCAGCAGCCGCGGCATCGCCCGGCCGGGTCCCCGCGCCGCGCTCCCCGCGGCCATGGCCCCGCGCGCGCCCCGGTCCCGCCGCGCCGCTCCGGGACCCGCCGAGGGGGCGGAGCCAGCCGGGGGGGCGGGACCTGCCGCCGCGCCCGCTAATCAGCGGTGGCGGAGGGGGAGGAGCCGCCCGGGAGAGGCGGTGGGGGACCAATGAGGGGCGGCGGGAGCGTCGCGTCACTGCAGGGGGTGGGTGGTATCGAGTCCTGCGGCGCCCCCTGGCGGCTCCTGGGCCCGACCCCGTTGTGGGGCTGAACTGGGGCTGGAGCGGGATTGGGATTGGGAGCGGGGCTCAGTCGCGCTCCCTGGAGAGGTGTTTCCGTCCCCCATCCTTGGCTTTCCGCGCTCGCTATTTGCCCTCCCGCAAGCCTAAGCGGAGCCGCTGCACGGTGCGGCTGAGATGGATAATAATCCAAGAGCGAGTTGTTGCGCCCAGAGGGACAAACAGCAGACCCTCGGAGGAGTCACGACAGGCCGCCCCAGCAGCCTCCTCTCCGGAGGATAAAGCCTGGACATAAACCAGAGCCTGGAGTGGAAGGATGGGGTGGCCTTTGCCTGGGCACAGTGACAGGCTGCAGGTCAGAGGGCACGAAGTGCAGCTCCTGGGGCCTCCGTCTTCCTGGCGGGAAGTGCATGTGACCAGCCCTGGCCACGCTACCTGCTCAGATCAGACTCTGGGGATTAAACACATTTTAACGTGATGTTTGTATGTTGTGTTGCTGTGCTGCGAGCAACTGCAGAACTGTGGGCCTCAGAAGAGATACAAATTGTACTTTTGGGTTTCCTTCATCTAATTCCCTTTGGGAGGCAGGTGAGATGACTAAAAGCAGGACACCTTACTCTGCAAAAATCACCTCACGGTCCATAAAACATTGAAAATGTCCATCTCCAACAGCAGATTCCTGTCAATTCCTGTTTAACTTTGCAGTAGTATCTCGTGAACACATCTGCTTCCCAGCTCTGGCATTTCCTGTTGGAGGCACAAGCTGCAAGTCCAGCACATAAAACCGATGTTCAGGGGAACCATCAGTGGCGTGACTCCTTCACGTCACGGCATTCTGGGATCCTTTGCACAAGAGATCAGATGATGCAAACTCCTGTGTGAGCATCAAAAGGGCCCTGAGGAAAGGGAGAGTAAATTGGCTTATCTTTCTTGGGGATCATTAGGAGAGGGACAAGCGGGGAACAGGGATTATCCATCAAAAAGATGATAATTAAGCTGGAAAAGCCAAAAGACCTCGGTCATCAGGATGTTCTTAAGCCAAAGGGAGGAAGGAACATCAAGAGGCAATTTGACTGTCTCAGAAGTGATCACCGTCACACAGCTTTAAGTCCTCAGTCTACAAACAAATTGCTCTGGATTTACCCAGAGTAACTGAGCTCATTTCCCTTTTTAGCTGATAAAAGCCCCGTTGTCTGGAACTCCAACAGACCAATTGTAAAAGCAGCATGTGGCAAAGGCTGATGAGTCACCCGCTCATTTGCTCAGCAGCCAGTAACAATAAATCCTTCACATTTCCTTGGAGAGCTCTGCCTTCCACATCCCTGAGTGAGCAAATCCTCAGGTTAGGGATCGATCTGCAAGAAGTCACCTCCTCCTGCTCTTCCTCCTTCTCCTCCTCCTCCTCCTCCTCCTCCTCTCTGCCCTGTGCCAGTGCTTGCCGTGAGCTTCAGCCCTGGCACTCGACAAGGTGGTTACTCAGGAGCTGTGGCTTTTGCCTCATGACACTCTGCAGTGATTGCAACCTTGGAACAGGAATGCGGTTTCATCCTGAAGGTTGGCTGCAAATGGTTTCCCGTGAACTGGAAAGATGGAGCAGCTCAGCCTTTGCAGACTCCTCTCAGAGGGAATGAAGGGTGATGCCACAGCAGGGAAGTTAAAACTGCTAATATTGTCTGGCAGCACTTCACAAGATCAAATCAGCACTTGGTTTTCCAGCAGAGCACTTCCAAGAAATCCCACTGGTGATGAAAGTTCCTAGGTAGACAAAAATATCTGACATCCAGGCTGCTCAGCAGCCACAGTGGAATACAGTCTTAAAGAGAAGCAGATCTGGGAATAGTGCTAGGGAATGTCCTGTACTGGCCATCAGCATGAAACAGGAACTAAGTTTAGCATCCTACCTAGTAATTTTTGTTTCCCAGAGGAAACCTTTGAAGCCCAGCCCACCCGTTCCAGAGGTGTGTTTTCTGTCCATAAGACTAACAAAATCATGGGAACCTGGCAGGTAATCACAGCTATGATACACCCTGACCCCTGGCTGAGGCAGGAGCCCACCTGGAAAACTGGGTCAGTCAGGTAGAAAATGGAGTTTCATGAGCGGATGGCACAAAGCAAAGAATAACAGCATTGATTTCCCTGAGTGCTGCCGGGTATGAGAGCTCCAGGCTGCCAACCAGGGCTCCCGAGGTGGGAAACTACAAGGGCCAACATTTAGGTGGAATTTCACACAGACAAGTCACTTTTATCTCCTGCGGGGGACCTATACTGCTAATTTAATGCCAAGCTCCTTTCACATTTCCTTTTATTTGGGACCACATGTGTCAGGATAGGACAGCAGCAGCCACACTAATGCACTGTCTTCAGTCATGATTGGTGACTGCAGCACCCACCAGTGCTGGATGTGACCCAGAGCAGGTGGGAAAGAGGGGCACCAGTGCTGACTGCAGGTAAGAGAAGCTGTGCCTACTGCAGTGCTTTCTTCTCAGCACGGGAAACATTGGCAAGTGCCTTGATGCTCCTGATTCAAGGTTGGACTTGCCCTCCTGGAATGTGGTTCCATTCCTTGCACTCACTTCAGAAAGGGAGAGTTTAAACTATCCAGGAGCAGTTGTTTGAAATGGTGACTGAAGTTTTCCAAGCCTAATTTACTCACACTTCTGGAAGAAGTACATGAGTACAGCAATATATATATATATATATCAGTAGAAGCCCAGGATAAGCTGCCCTGTTGCATCAGAAGGAGCACAGACTCCACAGGGCAATTCCTACAGCACAGATGAAAAACACCAGTGGAATTACCATCTCAGAGATGCCTCCTCCTCCTCCTCTGAGCCCAGAGGTTTGAGCAGACCTGCCCATGAGCGTGGCTTTAGCCTTCTACAGGGTTTACTGTCTCTGAGTTTGTGCCAAGGTGTTCACAGGGATCTCATCCAGTTTCCAGCACTCCCAGGTGACTTTGCTCCCTGCCAGCTCTCGTGGGTGGGTACCCAGCAGGTGGCATTCACATCCAACACTTGTGCTGGAGCCTCACCTTCCTGAAGGCTTCTCTTCCACCGTATTTATCCCAGAATCTGTTTGTTAATTAATTAATGCCTATTTTTCATTTGAATATTTAATGCCCTCTAAGCAATTTATTTTAAAATTACACAATATTCACTGTTTTGGTGCTTCTTTTGCTATTCTTATTCCTTCCCAAGAATACAATTCACTTATCATCCCTCTGCGTTCAGGGGCACAGTATGTGACCTTTATATAAGGACCATCAGAAAACAGAATGATTAACAAAATCATGAAAAAAATACTTGAGATCAGTCCTTCTCAGCAGTGGGAAATATGTGGGGTATAGGCTGGGAGTCTGGGAAATCAGGGCACATCACAGCTCCATAATCTTTATACTTGGGAAAAATAGGCTTTGTGGGAGGGAACAGGAGTGCTGAGTAAGTTCAAGCAGCGTTCCCTGACAGCCTTGCTTTCCATCCCTGATATCTGGCAAGCGGAGGCAGTGGATTTGGGTGTTACAGTCATCCTCCAACAATGGAAATGTTGCAAAATATGTAGCACCACATATTAAGAAAGGATTAGGAGTGGGGAACCACAAGGAGTAGGAAGACAGGAGCAGCCTTGGAGCAAGCCTCGGGCACTGTTGCAGAAACGTTTTCTGGAGCGGGATTACAGCCGTGTTACAGGCATTGTTTGCTTGACAAACCAACCCATGGATACGATCCCGGGCTTCCACACATCTGTGCAGATCCTGCCATGCCCCTGATTCCAAGAGCAACCATCAGCCCTCACAACTCTGCTGTATATAAATTGGGCTCTCATCTGCCAGTGAGACTGCGGGGGAATAAGAGTTGTGTCCCTGAAGGCACTGAGGAGATCGGTGCTGGGAGAAACTGCTGGGAAGTTTGAAATCAGAGGGTAAGAGGTTCCACCCAGTGGAGAAGAAATTTCTGCCCAATCTCTATCATGTTCTAAATCTTCTCTTCTCAGGTTTCTAAGGCTTGGATTACATCCAGGAATAGACTGGTGCTTATTAATTAATTCCCTTTGAGGCTGCTCAGAGTCATATTTGACACCAGTCTTATTCTGGGTTTGTTGGTTCAGCGTTGCCATAAGGATGACAAGCAGGAGCTGGTGTGGTGGATTACTCTGGCTTTAGCTCATGGTCTGTCTAATCCAGCCTTGGCAGTGCCTGATCCAAGTGCCTCAAATGTGAGGGTTGGATCCACTGCTGTGGAGAGTTACAGAGTATCTGCCTCACTGAGGAGGTTCCTCCAGTCCAAGTCATTAGTGGCTGCTTTCCATTCTGGAACATGAGGTTTATGTCCCTCCAAAACGTAATGGAAAGGTGGAGAATGCAACCCACAAAACTCTAGACCTCAGTAATTAGACACCCACAAGATAATTACACCCTGTATAAAAAGAAAAGTGTAAAAAGTCATTGCGAAAGCAATTCTTACCAGTTCCAAAAAGCTGCCTTTCGGTGCCTTGGGCCAGAAACACCTTGATTTTCTAGTCCCTCTTCTCTCAGCAGATCTCAAAGCCCATTGCAAAAGAGGACGCTGCCATTGCACCAGACGAACCTGAGCTCACCTCGCTGCCTGTGTCATGGACCTGCTGGGACAGAATTTTCCCAGGTCCTACTTGATGCTCTGCCCAATGTCGTGACAACCCCCCCACAGAACAACTGACCACCTTTTCCCTTGCTCTCATTTTTAGACTCAAAACGTGCCCCCAAACTCTATGCTTTCCTTCTTTACATCCTCACTTACTCTAATCACATCCTTCTTCTCCCAGAGTACCACTGCAAGGCAGTGATCAGAGGGATCCCAGACCTCCCCATGCTCTCCTGCCTTTGGCTCACATCGTGGCAGGAGCACAGGAGCCATTTCCCAGCCCCTTCCTTTGCATCCCTCCCTATCGCAACTCAGCTCAATTCCAAACCACAAAGATCATTTCACTCTTAGGAAGAGCATTTGGATTGAAGTTTGTACTGCACCATAAGACAGCATTTTACAGTTAGTTGAATACTACAAGCACAGGACTTCCTAAAAATGTTGGAAGAAGCTAAATTTATTTCTTAAACTGAGTTTGAGGGTAAAAAGTACACTAAAGGCTGGACACTCATTTCTAAGTTTTCTGAAAGGCAGACTGAGAACTGTCTCTTTAAGGAACTTTTGTACACATTTACTTTTTAACTGAAAATTATTCCCTGTTAGTTTTAAGGGTAAACCAATAAACAGAAAGAGATATATTAAGAAACACTCAGAGGTGCCCCTTGTTTGCAACAGCCCCACAAATGACTAGTGCTGTGTGGTCCTGTGCTGTGTGTACAGGCAGCCCTGGAGCAGGAGCCCTCCCTGCCCACCTCCGTGCTACAAAGAAAACGCCAAGGACATGTGCCAGGCTCCTCCTGCTCATGAAATGCACTTTATGGCTCTGATGAGCCCATTGCTGATGAGTGATGTGCCCTGTGCCTGCCTGAGAGCAGTGAGAACACATTGCAGGGATTGCAAGGTTCCTGTGCTTTGCAACCACGTCACCGTCATCCTGCTGAGGCGTAAGCAGCATTTTCAGGCAGTTTTCCACGTAAGCCAAGTGCTTCAGTTGTGCCCTGGGCATGCACAGCCCATGCACAGCTGTCCCAGCAGCAGGGACAGCTGGGACAGACCCCCTCACTCCATGCTGGGGGGGGACAAGGGCTGAGCTAAGCACAGGAGCAGCCTGGGGGCACACACTGGAGAGCAGGACAGTGTCTCTGACCTCTCCTCTGCCAACACACAGCTCAAAGTCTGAATCTGTGCATTTTCTTATTTTCCACTCAAAGGAGGACATGGCAACAGCACTTTGGGCGGAGAGGGACAAATTGGAGTCTACTCCTGCTCTAGGATAACTAGGATAAACTTCCTATGGCTTGAAACAGTGTTGTGAACACCCAGAAAGCTGAGAGGTAAAGGTATTATTTTTGGCTGAAAGTCTTTATGGCTGATGCAGGAACTCTCTCGTTAGTTATTCATTGCCTTGGCAAGTCTCATAAAACAGCCAGCAGAGCCCAGCAAGTGCTTTTCTTCAGTGTTCTGGGAGCTCAGAAATCCAGGAATTGAACGAGGCCTTGAACCCATTTTATGGGTTCACTTCTTACCGAACTACCATAAAATATTGAAATTCAGACCCTATAAATAAGGAGGGGAAGGAGCTGTGCATTTCTCAGCAGAATCAGCCTCTCCAGAGACTCTTCCCAAGGTAAGTCTGGTGCTACACGGCCCAGAGATGGGTTCCCCTGACAGATGATTAGGGACAACAAACTCATGTCATGGAGATTAGAGAGATCCAACCCCCTTGAATCTGCTCTTAACTGGAAAATGCCCTGCAACAATCGGCTCAGTTTGTTCCCTGGTGACCCTGTCCCTGCTGTGAGGACTCTCCCCAGGGTGTCTGATGGCAGCAGGGATTAACCCCTGCGAGCCCCAGCAGGGGCAGCAGTGCTGTGACCCTCTCTCCACAGACACCAGCTGGGCCCCTCCGAGATGGCACAGAGACACAGCCTCACCATTCCCTACGGAGCACCCGTCCTTGCCATTTCCTTCCTGGCGTGTGTAGCCACAGGTAAGTAACAGAAAAAAAATCTCTGGTGGCTTTGTCCAAGCCCTGTCACGCTGACAGTCGAAACTGCCCGGGGCTGGGTGATGTGCCACAGCAGCATCCCAGTTTTGGGGTGTTCTGGAGGTCATGCCCAGAGGACTGTCTGAAAACCAGCCTCTGATTTTGAGAGTAGCAGAGAAGGGGATGGGGGAGTTTCAGCATTTTGCAACAGTACTGTGGCAGCTGCACAGGACTGATGAGGGCACAGTTTCCAAACCTGCTCTAAGCAGTGAGAAGTGGTGATAGCTTTGGCCACCTGGGAACACCAGGGAAGAGACAGCTTCAGAATTCTTTATGTTCACAAGACTTTATATTCCAAGCTATATTTATAGTTCATTAATCCATGACCCAGGCTACAGCAGTGAGTTTCAGCCCATTACAAAAAGTTATTTCCCCTACTTATTTCATTTAGTATGTCCTGAGGTTTGTACAACTCTGCAGCTGCCAGACTCAGCCTGTCCAGGATAAAGCTGAAGGCTGATTAACTAATTTATACTTCCAAGGACTTCCAGCTCCAGCTGAAAAACAGAGTATCAAACAGTGAGCAGAAAACCCGAGGGCACATTGGTACTGCAACAGTGCTTGGTGGCAGGAGGGTGAGGAAGACCAGCTGGATGGGGATGATCTTTTGCTGTGTGTTATATGGTCACTGCTGGTTTTGAGACATTTTGTTGTCACAGGTCAGGCCTTGGTGTTCTGTTGGTCAGCTGCAAAAAACCTGACTTTTGTTTTAAATAACAGTAAAGGGAGCTTTGTGATGAAGACTTCTTGTCTCAAAAACTAACACCCCACCTGAGAACAGCTCTTATGCTGAAGACTGAAAGTCTCAGTCCCTCCTCCAAGGCTGGGGCATGGACAAGTCAGCAGGGCAGCTTTTGTGGGAAGGGTATGGCTTAGGAAGTTTACTGTCCTTGTCCTCCTCCTCCTTCTGCAGGTTTGGAGCTGTCCATAAATAACCACGCTGCCGACTTCCCCCTGTCTACAACGAGTGGCAGTTCAGTCTCCCTCTCCTGCCTCGTCCATAACAGCAGCCAGGCTGAGAACCTGCTCTGGTACCGGGGAGATGGGCAAGTGGGTCTGAAAGATGGGAATAAAGTGAACATCAGCCACATCTGCATACACCCAGTCAACGAGTCTGACAACGGAGTCACCTTCACGTGCAGGCTGGCGCGGGACAAGTCCGTGCAGGTGTCTGTGACCCTGGATGTCAAGTGTGAGTCGCCAGGGTGGATTTCTGTGCGGAGTGGCCGGGGTGGGACGGAGCCCTGGGCTGAGCAGCGCGGTGTCTGGGTGGTGTTTTACACCCTTGTGTGCTGCCTTCACCAAGAAAAAAATGTGTTTAGGAGGAGATAACTCACATTGTAAGACACTCCCTTTCCACAGTGGTGCTTATGGCCTGATCCAAGGCCTCTTTTATAGGGATTGGGCAGGCCCTTAAGAAAGAGGTCCTGGATACGGCCCTGACTCCACCTAGATTCTTTCCCAGGAGTAAAAGCCAGGGCACAAGAGATACAGGAGTGACAGTCTCTGCCACTGATTTCCCTGCTGATTCCTGGGATCAGGAAAGGCTGTGCAACTGTGATGTGTTAGACCACTGAACAAAGGAGTACAAGGGATGTGTGAAAGGAACTTATGTTTAATGGTGGCCATTCTACAAGTACCTGAAACTGGAGCAAGGTGGGGTCAGTCTCTTCTTCCAGGTAACAAGTTACAAGAGGAAATGGCCTCAAGTTGCACCAGGGGAGGTTTAGATCGGATATTAGGGGAAATTTCTTCCCTTGAAGGGGTTATCAATCAATGGAACTGCCCAGTGCAGTGGTGGAATCACCATCCGTGGAGGGATTTAAAAGATCTGTAGATGTGACACCTGGGGACATGGTTTAGGGGTGGCCTTGGCAGTGCTGAGTTAAATGCTGGACTCAATCTTAGAGGGCTTTTCCAGCCTAAATGGTGATTTCTGTGATTCTACGAGCAGCATTATTAATGGCCCATTGAACTGCATTGCTGTGAACAGTTCCTCCCCAGCTGAGCGGAGAAGAGACCCTCCAAATTGAAGAAGAGAAAGATGTTACCCTGACCTGCAACTCCAAATCCAACCCTCAAGCCCAAACAACTTGGTATAAGGACAACAACGACTTGACCCTACAGGAGGGTCGTTATGTACTCCGCCAGACGAGTGAGGTCTTTCAGCTCTCTATCACAAAAGTACAGAAGTCTGACAATGGGACCTACACCTGCGTGGTGGAATCTTCCTTGGGAAAGGGGACAAAGGATTTCCACCTGATAATTGAAGGTAACAAGGCTGCTGTTAGACAGTAAGCTTTACAATTAATTCTCCATTCTCTTTTATGATGGCAGCAATCCATTTATATTAAGATGTGTAAGTGGAATGTGGTAAATTCCCTGTGTTAACTTCTGAGGGCACAGCAACAGAAGGAGCTCTCCTGCTCCTGTACCTGGCACCACAGCACCAGGAAGGGCTTGTCCTGCTCTACCTGTTATTCAGAGGTGTTTGGCAAGTGTGACCCAGGGCAGGCTCATCCCACTGTCACACCTCCCACGCTGACAGGGCACACTCGAGCGTGGTTTGAAGCAGCTCAGGTCTTACTTGAAGTGTCTTTGGCCACAGTATTCTGTCAAGCCCAAAGAGCTGCTTAAGGTTCTTAAGAGAAGTTGTGCTCCAGAAATGGGGCTGGGTGCTCAGGTCTCAGACAGGTGACACCAGGTGAGGTGACCCACAGGCATCTCTTTCCCACCCTCTGTCCAGGCCCCTTTCATTTCTATACTCCCGGCACAAGATAAAAAGCAATGTTACCTGTGTCATGTTATTCCTGAGCATAACAGTGCCTGGGGGACAGACTCTTCTTCTGGAGCTGATGTTTCAATTCTTCTTCAGTTAGCTAAAACACGAGCTCAGCTCCCTTCTTTCCAGAGGACTAACGCACACAGTCAGCCTGCAAACAGCAGAGAGAGCAACAGTGACAGCTGTGGGAAAAGAAGTAGGTCTTTCTGCAGTCCTGTAAAATGTTCTGGGTTATATGACTGCACTAATCTATCACATATCCAACCTCCTCCTTCCTGACAGATAAAAAAGCTGTTTTTCCCAAAGAGGCTGTTATTACTGCTGTCGTGGTGGTTGCAATCGCGATATTTTTTGGAATTGTGGCTCGAAGAGATAAATTCTGTAAGGTAAGGAAAGCTCTAGTTTCATAGGAAAGAAATAGTTTGTTGCAATAATCTGGTTTTTTTTCTGCCTTTTCTATTCTACTTCATAATGTTGCTTTTCACTGTAAGAGAACTGCTAGATACTTCCTCCTGCATTAGAATTACCAGTAGATAAATCAAATATTAGATATTTTAAAGAAGGCATCACATAGTTGCAAGATATTTGTAACAATATCCCTTTGGTCAGGAAATGTGAAAGATAACAAGACCGTTTCTTTCTTTTCAGTGCTTCAAGAAATCAAACAGCGAAACAGCTCTGTAAGTATTTGACTGCTTATTCGTGCTTATTCCAAATGAACTTCCTTCTTTAAAATTGCCAGAACCTGGAAAAGAGCACTCAGCATGACCCACACCTTCTCTCCCAGTGGAGAGTGGTCCCTGGGAATATGGCAGGACACACACAGATCCTGCCCCAGGCTCCTGCCCTTGCCCTGGCCATCCCAGCACCCTGGCTATGTATGGAGGCACTGGGGATAAAAGTTAATGGTGCTTTCTGGAGCTGAACTCAGCCCAGGTGAATTCAACTCACTTTATGAGGAGGTTTTTCCCAGTAGGTGATTTTTCATTTCTTCTGTTCGTTTTGCTGCAGGTGAAGAACACAAGGTTCCTGTGCACACCCAGAAAACATCAGTTCTAGGGGTGGAACTAAGGCCTTGCGTGAGATGATGAGATAAAGCACTGAAACAAGTTTTTCGGGGTCAAGTTTATATGGTGTTTTTTTCCAAAATATAACTGGCTCACCTGTTGATTCTAACCTGCTGCTTAGAGCACTGCTGTGGAGGGGAGGTTGCCTGAGATGATGCCGTTTCTTCCCCTCCGTGCTTATTCCAACAAGGAAAATGCACGTGCAGTCAGGCATTTGGGTTGTGGATCAGTCCACAGAGGAATCTGCACTGGATTGCCCCAGATTGTGATGCCGATGCACACAAATGAAGTGAGGTGCTGAGCTGGCAGCTGCTTTCTGTCCTGCAGTGCCATTCCACAGGGTGCTGGGGTGGTGGTCACCCAACTTCCTGCCCCTTCCCAGTGATCCTCTGGGCATCTCAGCTCCTGTTGTGAGGGTGAAAGCTGCCTGGCACTTCAGCACTGCCACTGCACGTCCTGTCTCCGTGGCTGAGACCAGACCCCAGGGCTCGGGGCAGCCCCAACCACTCGATAGCACACAGTGAAGTTCCAGTGTGGTTGCTCCAGCGCTGCAATGGCAGGAAAACCTCTCCATCCACCCCTTCTCCCAACGAATGTGCCACTCAGGCACTTTTCTCAAGGTCCTGGCAAGCTGTGGAGGCCTCATCATGCCTTGGATGGTACATTACTAATACTGCAAATAAACACAGTGTGCTGTAAATCAATTTGAGACTGCAGTGCGCCAACACTCTTCTCGGAGGAGCAGGGCTGTTACTCATCAGGGAGACTCCGCAGCCTGATCCGGAGCGTGATCCAGAGCGTGTCCTTGACTGACGTTCCCCAGGCTCAGGGAGGACCATGTCGGTGCCACCTCATGCTCCTGAGTGCCTGGTGCCAACACTGCCATTGTGCCAAACTCAGCAGAGTTCAGGATGACATTGCAGGGGTGGAGCTGGGAACAGTGGGATGGGGATGTTCCAGTTGGGTGTCCCTTGCCCAGGGTGACACCAGCCCTGAGGGAATGTGGCTGCCTGAAGCCACACACAGTCCCTGGCACTGCTGCTCCTTGGGCAGGCGTGAGGGGTCAGTGTGAGGGGTCTGTGTGAGGGTCGCTGTGAAGGGTCAGTGTGAGGGGCGGCTGTGAGGGTTGGTGTGAGGGGTCGCTGTGGGGGTCAGTGTGAGGGTCAGTGTGAGGGTCAGTGTGAGGGTGTGAGGGTCAGTGTGAGGGGTCTGTGTGAGGGTCAGTGTGAGGGGTCTGTGTGAGGGTCAGTGTGAGGGTGTGAGGGTCAGTGTGAGGGGTCTGTGTGAGGGTCAGTGTGAGGGGTCTGTGTGAGGGTCAGTGTGAGGGTCAGTGTGAGGGTCTGTGTGAGGGGTCTGTGTGAGGGGTCGCTGTGAGGGTCGGTATGAGGGGCCGCTGTGGGGGTCGGTGTGAGGGGTCAATGTGAGGGGCAGATTTGAGGGATCTGTGTGAGGGTCTCTGTGAGGGGCCGCTGTGAGGGATCTGTGTGAGGGGCCGCTATGAGGGGTCAGAGTGAGGGTCAGTGTGAGGGGTCGCTGTGAAGGGTCGGTAACGGGGGTCGCTATGAGGGGCAGGAGCGGCACCCCCACACCAACCGTGTCCCTCACCGCGCTCCGTCCCCCCTCCCATCCCCGCTCGCCCCCCCCCCCCGCCCCCGGCCGCGGCCCCAGGCCCCTCTTCCGGCTTCCGGTGCCGGCGCTATAAGAGCCGCTTCCGCCTCGGGCCCGTGCCGGGAGCGCGCGCCGCCGGTGCCGCCATGAACGCCCGCGGTGAGCGGGGGAGGGAGCCGGGGGGGTCTGTCCGGGAGGGGCCGCGACCGCTGGGGGGGTAAAGGGGGTGCACGGCGGTACCTCAGCCATGGCGGGGGCGGTTAATGGGGTGAGGGGTGTTGGCGGAGGGGGGGGGGGGCAGCCGTTACCGGGGCTACGCGCGGGGGAGCCCTGTCCATGATGGGGGGGGGGAGGACGATTACCGACCCTTAGCGGGGCTACGGGCGGGGGGGGATCCAGTCCGTGGGGTGGGAGACTGGCCGTGCCCTCAGCAGTGGGTCTGGGGGGGGGTTACCCGGGCGGGGGTGGTGGGAGAGGGAGGGGGAAGCGTTCCCGGGGCTGTGGGTGAGGGGGGGCCGGGAGACCCTGCGATGGGCCAGGGAGGGGAGGGGGGCGGTGAGGGAGGGGGTTCCTCGGGGGGTGTTGGTGGTGCGGGGCCGGCCGCGACCGTGTCCCCGTGTCCCCTCGGCAGGGCTGAGCACGGAGAAGGCCGTCGCCTTCAGCCGGCGGCTGCGGGCCGAGCCGCAGTTCCTGCTGGCCCAGAACGTGGCGACATGCAACGACCCGCTGGAGGTGTGCCTGCAGCGCCAGGTGGTGCAGGACACCGTGCAGGTGTTCCAGCACGCCGTGCCCGCCGAGGGCAAGCCCGTCACCAACCAGAAGAACTCCGGTGAGAGGGGGTCGGGCCTGGGGTGGTGTTTGGGGATTGACTGGTAACACTGACTGTGCTTCTGGGAGCCCTTTGTCCGGGCTCCGGAGCAAAGTTGAATCCCTGCAGCATCTCCTGAGTTAATAACAGACTTGAGGCTTGCAGCGTTTCCCTCTCTTTCCTCCTGTAACTGAGACCAGTGCTCGCAGTGGAAGATTTCAGAAGTCCTTCAGAGCTTTTTGGTGTGGTACAGCCCTGGCCAAAGGCTGGAGGCAGAACTGTGTCATGAATCTCGTGGTAAAAGGAATTGTTGTGCAGCTCTGGAGTACAGGCGTTCCACTTTAATCCTCGTTCCTTTGATCTCTCAGGGAGATGCTGGATCTTTTCCTGTCTCAACGCGATGCGTCTTCCTTTCATGAAGAAATACAACATTGAAGAGTTTGAGTTCAGCCAGTCCTATCTCTTTTTCTGGGATAAGGTACAGTCGTGCGGGTTGTGCTGGGGTGGCTTATGCAATCAGGTGTTAGTGTTGGGACAGGACTTCTTTTAGGCTGGGTTGTTTTAACAATACATCTGGAAAACACACATGGGAAGAAACTTCAAAAGTTCTTTTAAAAAATGCATTTTAAATGCAGGTCGAGCAAAGTGTGACTTTCAGCTGGAGAAGAAAGTTGTCAACATGTTGATGTTTTGGAATAGTAAAAGTCTTTTTTTCAAGTGTTACTTGACACTTGAGGAGTTACTTGATATTTCCTAAGTTACTTGTTGGAGGCTCAGGGGAAACGTGATTGTCACTCATGCTTGTCACCTGCTGTGTGTCTGCTCATCCCCCTAAGGGAAATCAAGCGAATCTAGTGCTAGTTTGGGCCAGGCTTCATTGCATAACTTCTGCTTCACATTTCCTGTTCCCCTACCCTCAAGCTCTGAGCTAACTCACTCCTAAATGTTTGCTCTGTAACAAAGAGGAAGCCCCTGGAATGCTAGAGGGGGACAATAAGGATTTCAGTGGATGAGCAGGAAGTAGCTTCATCTATTTTGTACTTCCAAACAACTTGAATATTCAGCAATTAATTATATGTCAGACTTAAAAGGGTTTTTTTCCCCCGTGTGTTTCAGGTTGAGCGTTGTTACTACTTTTTAAATGCTTTTGTGGAAACAGCCCAGAAAAAGGAGCCGGTGGAAGGAAGACTGGTCCAATTCCTGCTGTCCAACCCCACCAATGATGGAGGACAGTGGGATATGCTGGTTAACATTATTGGTAAGAGAATTGGTCATTAGGAGCCCTTCCTGAAATTGCAGACTGGTTTGAGGTGGGGAATGGAACAGAAGAAGAAACTGAGTTTGGGGCCTGGGAATTTGCCAAGGGACACGATGCCATTAACCACTACCTTTCCTAACCAAGGACCTTTTTCATGCTGGACTTAAATTCTCTTGCATTGCTTTAGCATATTGCTGCTGCTGATAAGAGCTCAGAAGATCAACAGAAATAATCAGATAACCCAGACTTCCCATTTAGTAAAAAGGTTCAATCCCTTTTTACTCCAGTTGTCAGCTCAACATTATTTATTTATATCCATGTGTACAATTTTTAGGGCACAAGGTGAAGAAAAAACGTGGCTGCACTTGGGTGTGTCTACCAGGCAGGAGCAAAACTACTTGGAGTTGCAGCCTGAAGTTGGTACAAAGACCAGTGAGAGGGAATTGATGTGGAATGTGGCAGTGCTGGTCTTACAAAGATCCAGCATAAACGGGATCCTACGCTGATGGAGAGACTTAATTACACCAGCACTTGCTTTCATTTGTGTTGTGAAACAATGTGATACCTTTTGTAAATCAACAAGCCAATAACAGATATTTAGAATCACAAAAGGAATTTGTTTCTTTGAAACCTGGAGGTTCTTTTTTTCCCCTCACCCACTCGTTATTAATACTTAATCAGGGCAAAGAAGATTTTTGCTGCTGCAGTTACATCCAGAGCCTTGCATGGTGTGTTCTGTCATTGGTACCACAACGTAGGAAACAACTGAGCTGCTGCTGATATTTTATAAGTATTGAGGAGGAAAGGAGACCAGGAAGTTAGTCAGTTAACTGTAGATAAACTACATAGAGTGATTCACAGGAGGCCACATCTCTAGAAGGTATTTCAGGAGCTTAATTTTAAAGTAATCGAGTTGGTTTTCTTTTTTCTGGTGAAAAGAACTTCTTGAAGCACTAATTAGTTTAGAACTTTTAAGTGTTGAGTTAAATGATACTGAGCAGTTCAGGGATTCCACATTCTGGGACCCCTGTGGAATGTGGTTCAGAGGTGAAGATTCAGTCACAAATTAAAATGTAAACTTGGAGTACTTGTAACTTTTTAAGTAAAAGACTTTCCCTTATAATCTCTGCACAAATCCAAACTCTCTTTAGCTTTTACATGGGTACAAGCAAAGTATGAGCATCTGTTGTGTGGAAAAGCCAGTTGTTAACCTGTAGTTTTATGTCTTTTAGAAAAGTACGGTGTTGTCCCCAAGAAATACTTCCCGGAGTCTCACACCACGGAGGCTACTAGGAGGATGAATGAGATCTTGAATCATAAGGTGAAATTGATTTAGATGATATAATGACTGTCAGATTTGATAAAAAAGATGAAAAAAATGTATTTTCAAAACAGTGAATCTTAAAAATCAGCTTTCACTCTAGAAGTGCCCAGCTTGGTCTGAAGGAAGGTGTTAACTGATTCCCTGAACTACAGAAATTAATTAACCTGGGAAGGTGCTAGTGTAGGTAGCTAGATAAAAAAGCTAATTAAAATATTTTTTTTTTACAATGGGATTTGATAACTTTTTTTCCAGTTCATATGCTACGTGCTCAGGGAAAACTGCCTGCTGAAATCCACATAAAAAATGCAAAGTATGTGCTGAAATGAGCTTAGTATGTCATTAATGTTATTCTAGTCTTGAGCACAGCAAAGCAGCTGGTCCTGAGGGAGCCCCACTCACTGTTCCCAGCCTTATGGGTGGTGACAGTAATGGGAAGTGTGTGCTGCTCTTGCTGCAGTTGTGCATGCAGTGGGGAAATGCTGCTTGCTTTTTATCAACCAGGAGATCAATTATGCATTAGAATTGCAAAATAAATGTTACAGTATGAAGACAGTGTGTTCTGTGAGTCACAGAGGTGCTGATGTTGTGTGGATGTTGTACCATCAGCCATGGAACCGAGAGAAATCAAGCCTTAAGAGCTTAATGGCTGCAAGCCTCACATCAGTGGCTGGAAAACTGTAATTGAATTGTGACTTTGTTAATCTTTCATTATATTTTGCTGATATTTTAAAGCATTCAATTATCTTGTTATTTTTTAATGAATCAATCTCAGACTAAGCCTTCTGAAAGGTGTTTTTCTTTTCATTTTGAAAACATGCTGTGAAGAGTAAAATAGGTGCTTGAAACAACCAGATGGGAAGTCCTGGGACTGATTAGGTGGCACCTTTCATACCCTTATAATCAAACGACTTTCTTTTCAAACAGATGAGGGAATATTGTTTGCGGTTAAGAAACATGGTGGAAAGTGGAGGAAGCAAAGGAGAACTTTGTGCTGCCATGGACATGATGATAGAAGAGGTAAATAAACTTGTAGAAGGGGTAAATAAATAAAAAGACACGGATCTTTTTGGAACACAGGGCCAAGTGGAAGGGGTTTCTTCCTTTTGTTCAGCCAAAACAAGTGCCTTTTTTGCCCAACTAGAAGTGTAGTTGGAGCTATTCAAGTGAATTTGTTTTGCAGTGGCTTTGTTGCTCAC